AAAACCCCGGCTGAAGTCCTTTGCTATGTCAACCCGTCAACAAACCGAAAACCAATCCATGACCCAAATACCCATGAGCCGTAGACATCAAACCCTAAAAATCCCCAACAGACCCGCTCCCGCTGATTCTCGCCCAGACCAGATCTCTAAACCTGAAACCTGGTCTTCTCGCGCACGCAGACCGTGCATCCCAAACCCCTCCACCGGTCATTTTGACGCACCGCCCGCCAAGTTCCTCCTATAAGGTACATGCGCCCCAAGCTTCATAGGTTCAGGGTTTATAGGTGACATAAACCTTGTTGTGCGGGTTCAGCTTGTTGAGCTGCTCAGCCCTAGAGCATAATTAGGAGAAAGTAGACTCCCAACACAAACTGCCAAACGAAACCCACATCCGACAGTAGTTGGGCACAGCGAGTAAGCTGAGCGAGGGCCACGACTTCCGAATGATGGGGTTCCCTTGCCCAAGAGCATAACTGAGTTGTCCTTTAAGCCCTTTGAAAATTACTTACTATTATGGTTCTCTACAAAATTGTAGGGATTGTAGGGGAAACTAAAAAATGTCCCAAAGCACAACCCAGATAAGCTTTTCAGGGTTGAAGGGTTTGCGGTCTCTCATGTTGCTGGCACATGCGAAGAGTATGGTCATGCCTTTGTTGCCGTGGAGGTCTATCGGATATCCAGATAGTCTGTATAAAAACTAGAACTCCTGCATGTCGTTGGGTATTCCGAAGGACGTAAATATGTCCTGCATCTTCGTTGGAGCTAAGCTGCTGATGTCACCCCTACGCGGGCAGATGTCGTACTTTTTTGGAGGTTCCTGGGGGATAGCCGAAGAAAAAATTCAAGAACCCTTATATAGACTAGACACTGCAGCATCTCCAGAATTAGTCTGTGTTCCGCAATGGTCTGGGGCGACATAACGCTTGCATCGCTGACTGCAGGAGAACTGAACAAAGGGCCCCCCAATGTCCTTTGAACACAGGAGGACGGACGGACTGTACATGCTGAGCATGACAGTAAGCTTTGGAGCTCCCTGGGGGTTCAGTTGGACTTAGGGCGGGTTTGCAGGGAGAGGTTATTAGTGATGGTTAGTGGTTACGGTTCGGGGTTAGGCTATTAGTGATGGTTAGTGGCTACGGTTCGGGGCTGTGCTGTCGCGGAGTTCGGTCAAAGTTTGCTTGAAAGAGGATTTCATTTACAAGGCTTCAGGAGTAACTCGGCTTTGATAGCCCGGCATCTAAAACCTTAACTAAACCAACCCTAGAAACCTTGAAGCTTTCCGGGTACTACTTCCTATACAAGCAAATGTACCCTTGAATAAACCAAGGACCGAAGTAGACATTTCCACCGCACCATCTCAGTCATAGCAACCCCACCCAAAAGCGAACCGGCTTGCAGTGGTGGTCGCACGCGGGAGCTCTTAGCAAAAAGCATCCGCGCTTCAATCACTGGGCCGTTTTAGGGTCTTCGGGTGTCCCTGTAGGGGCCAGTCCGCGTCCTTCACGCACCACAACACCTCTACGGATCCATGCGTTAAGAGTTGGGGTTTCAGATACCCTGTCTAAAATCTATCACCTTAAACCCTAAACCCAAAGCCCATACACCCCTCAACTTTGGACTAGACAGGACTGGACCCTTCGTGTATAGGCAGTCGGTTTCTGCCTACGATCTCGGATCTGGGAGCAACATCGCTGCTGCCGGAGGCCGTGCGCTGCAAGCCTTATCAATTTTTGCCAATGTAGAAACGGAAGTTTCCGAAAATAGGGGACCCTGATTTAGTACCCGAAGTAGTAGGACCCCAAAAGAAGGTACCCCGACTGTTCGGAAACTCCCATGTAGAAATCAAAGGTAGTTTAGTATCGCAGGTACTTCACTCGAGCCTCCCTTAATGAAGCCATGCAGCAAAATGAAAATGAAGGCTTCGGTGGTCGCAAGAAAACATGCGACAGGATTACCTGTATGTAAACCCTTGCACGCTGGGGGAAACCGCTTCCAGAGACGGCTGGTTACCCAGGTAGCCCTTTCAACAATTCATCGGGATTTCAAGCAACATCGCTTGCTGCTGTTTTCTGTAAGACTCTAAACCTTCACATATCTACATCCGGGTTTGCGTGTCTTCTAAAACCCTAATGCCCCACTGAATCCTAGATATGTGTACAACCTGCAAAACACGACTCCGAACTAAATCGAAACCTACGGTTGATGATATAAATCCTGCATGACCCATAATAAGGAATCTACCATAATTCCCATAATTGAGGGTCATTAAGGTAATGCAGGATTTATATCATCAACCGTACGTCCTGAAACAGCCTAGAAATGCTAAACCAGCCGTAACACTATCTTTGTTAGAAGCCCGACCAAAACGTTAAAGAATTTGTAGAACTGACCCACTACTAACCCTCAGCAAGCAAGACCGCTTTTAAATCCATCGCACACATCGCACTCTCCGGCAACTTGCTCCGCGAGCAGATCCTCTATACTACCAAGAAGCCTAGGGCCGCGATCTTGGGCTGAAGTTTTCGAGCACTGCTCGATTCTCGATGTGGCTTCTGTAGCGACTAGGGCTTCGCAGCTTGATGAGTGTTGGGAGCTGTCGTCGTATTTTGGTTATCTGTTTGAGGCTTGCAGTTGACAGCAGTGGCTATATTTGTTTTAGAGTTCTGGGATCTGGGTCGGGTCGGTGGGCTCGGATATTTTGGCGGCACATCACCAGGATTCTGGAGGGAAGCCCTCAACCAAGAATCTAAAACAAGTCTATGGGGGATCAGAAAACTTACGGCCGGTAACAAACCAGACAAGCTTCCACAGCGTCGTCATGATCATGGTCATCATGGCCCCAAAATGTCTTGGTGTAGTTATCTGTACCATTCCTTAGATTCTCATTACGACTTCACACCACCATAACAAGCGCTTTCTTTCCTATTCTAACTGCCCAGGCCGTTTCTCAAGGGACATCCCTGAGTCTCAAAACCTCTTGGGGGGTCTCCCTCCAATCATGTTGGCTGCAATCGATCGGATGAGTCGGGCTCGTTGTTAAAAACCGGCATGGTGGAAGCACAGATCTCAACCAGTCCAGGAGGCAGAGGAGGGCCTTACTAGCTCATGCGGTGTCCATAATAAGGAGTAATCCGAAGCTACCATGTTTTAGGGGCTGCTTCAGCAGGGAAAAACTGCTGTCCATCAGCAGCAGTGCTAAGAGGTTCCTAGGGCTGATGTCATGGGTTCAGGTAGTTTCGATGCTGAAGATGTGCAGTGCAGCGATCAGGGCCTAGTGAGATTTGAGCATTGAGCCTGTTCCCCCCGATCGTAACCTATTAAGTGCAAGCGGAAGAGCCTCATCCTACACCCACCCCGGCCCCAAACCCTACGAACTTATGTAGCCTCAGAATGTGCACACGGGACTTTCTCAACTCTCACACGGAACCCAAATGGCGGGCCTCCAGGTTAAAAGCCGAGAGTATTGGCTTCTAGCTGATGATTATGGTAATATACACGAGTACACTTTAGTATAACGTAGTTCACTACTGTAAACTGTCGTATATCGAAGACTAGTCATGTATGTTCTAGTCCATTCTAGCATCTTACACTATATCGCGGTGTCCTTTCCTGTCACGTGGATCTGTGTCCTGCCGGCACCCTCGAAGTCTCAGAAGATTTGGGACGACTGGTCGGCCTGGACCATTCGCAACCTTAGGAAAAAATGGCGGAGACTGCTGCAGCAGCAGGGGTCTCCCTTCTTATAGCAACTTTTATCACACCCCCGTACCCCCCACCTCAAAAAAGTATGCACAGCATGTGGGGCTGGTGACCATTCCAACTGGGTTTGCACCTCTTCCACTTTGTTGACAAAACCTCTGTCGGGACGAATGCGAATCACAAGGCTTTGGCTCTGTGACTTGGAGTCTGGAGAGTTACTTGGAGGATCATGGGACTTAGTAAGTAGGGTTATAAGTACCCTAATTGGGGTTATAAGTAAAAATAAGTATAGTTACCCGAATTATAACCCTAGTTACTAAGTCCCCCGACCCTTTAAGTAGGTCACCCAACCATGACCTACAAAGTCTCACCGCTTAGTCAGTCATGCCAGGTTGGGTTTCTCTCCAAAAATTTGAGCCACCGACACACAATTGAAACGAAGGAGCCCCATTCCGAATATACCCCCTAGAAGGCAGCAATGTCTGTCTTTGCCTGACCTGGTCTTCCTAGCATGTACACTAAAACAAACAGCTCTTCTTATTCATGAGACAAGGGTCTATCGTAGATAGTATGGGTTCCTTGCTCCTTACTACACCAACACACTCACCCAAAGGATCCATGTACCTTTATAGTAGATACTTAAGCCTCAAAGGGGTGCCTATATAGGTACTTTAAGGCCTACGTATATACTATATGGGTACATGGAGCCTTAGGGTCAGCATCTTTCGACACACGCAGAGCGCGAGGTGCCGACCTCGTCAGGCCCGACACAAGATCAATACACTCTAAGATGGGGGCCTGAACACGTAGTACCAGTAACTTCCCAAAACAAACTGCGCTATGACATACCTGAAAATCCGATTCTAACTCTTGAGGGAGGTCCTGTATAGTAAGCATATGGATCCTGCATTCGGGTCTAAGTCAGCAATCACCATGGCTGATGTCATGGCAGGTGGCTATAGAGACTTGACTTGTTAAAGAGAGGCTCATTATTGACCCCTTGATCCTTGAGGGTCTAGTGGTCAGGGTGGTGAGGTTGCTAAACCCCAATCTCCCAACCGACTAGGGGTGGCATTCTATGGCTGATTCTCTAAAGACGAGGCGAAGGATGACTACCAGGAGTATGCAAAAAAACCCTCACTAACCATATTGAAGAGGAATAGAATAGGGCTCTACTATAATCCTCATAGTCACTATTACAGGGTGGAGGCAGCTTAGCACATAAACGAGATAAATACATTGTGCGTCAGGGGTTGTGCCCTCAAAATGTGCTGGTCTCGGACATGGGCCGGGGTAAACGATCATCGATCATCGTCGCTGTCGTCGCCCTGCACGTGATGCATCAGTATTCGGGGGACCTTGAGTCGGGGGGACCTCTGGAGGCTAAGGGTGCAGAGAAACCATCATCAGCTTCTGGTGGTTTAGCACGAGCACCTGGACATTGAAGTTGCCTCGAAGTGCACAGCCGTGGCTTTGTGCTGCATTCTCTGGCTGTGACACGTCTCTACAATCTTTACACATTTAACTCCCCAGAACCATCTGAACTCTAAACCCTGGGCGCACCTTCCCAAGGACATTCTGCATCTCGACTTCTTCGGAGCTCGACTCATCCTGACACGGCAAAATGGCTTTATGGTTTAGGGTCTTAGGAGGTTCTGGGGTTTACGGTTGGAGTGCGAAAAGTCATAGGGGTTTGGGTATGAAAGTACCGTGGGCCTAGTCCCTGGGGCGTTCTAGTCTCGCTTCGTTGCGCAGAGGCCTTGACAAATGTGGAATGCAACATCGATACCCTGTCATCCGGGCCAGAAGTTGAGGGCCTACAACACGTCTTGAGTCTCTACATGACCCGTCTGACGTTGCGGGGTTGGATGGCACTGGATTTCGATTTTAATTGTCAATTAAAATCGAGTTTAATATCCGCCCGGAGGGCGGGCCGTGTCGGCCAGGGACATCAATTAACATCGATTTTAATACCTTCCAGGGTGACCTGACCAGGCACACGGGTGTATTTAAATCGATTTTAATACATATGGACGGCCACTCCGCCCGGGAGGTATTAAAATCGATTTTAATACTTTTTGCTTGGAGGACGGTTTCCAGAGCGGGTCAGGGTTTCGGGAAGAGTTTCGGGTTGAGGTCCTCGGGTTTCACAAGAGCTGTGGGTTCAGGTCTACGGGCTTTGCAGCACTCTGACGGTAGACAGTCTAGGGTTTAAGGTTTAGGGTTGAGGTCTGTGGGGTTAAGGGTGGGTGTCGGTTTCAGGTTGTCGGGCTTCACAGGGCTCCTTGTTGGGTTTAGGGCGCAGGGCTTTGGGTTCAGGTCTTTCGGCTTTGCAGGACTCTGAAGGTACTGTAGAGCGTTGAGGGCTTAAGGTCTAGGGGTGTGGTCCGCGGAGCTCGGTCCTTGGGTTTCAGGTTCACGGCTTTGGGTTCAGGTCTTTCGGTTTGCAGCACTCTGACGGTAGAGAGTTAGGGTTCAGAGTTTAAGGTTTGTGTTCAGGTCTCAGCACTCTGAGGGCAGAGGGTTCAAGGTTTAGGGTTTGTGTGGCATTGTCTGTTTCTTCACTCTGCTGCGCGCAGTCACAGAGTGGTCAAAGGAAAAACAGAGACAGGGTTTAGGGGTTGGGGTTTAGGGGTTGGTGTTTAGGCTTAGGGCTTAGGGTTTAGGGTTTAGGGTTAAGGGCTAAGGGTTAAGGGTTAAGGGTTAAGGGTTAAAGGTTAAGGGTGAAGGGTTAAGGGTTTAGGGTTACATTGGGGCTACAGGTAAACCCTCAAAACCCCAAATCCCCAAGCCCTGAAGCTCTACTTGGGGGTTCATGGGACTTAGTAAGTACAGTTATAGGTACCTTAACTGGGGTTATAACCAATTTTAAGTCTAGTTACCTTATTTATAACCATAGTTACTAAGTCCCATGAACCTTTAAGTATAGCACCTAGGTGTACAAATGCGTCCCATATCAATTAAAATCGATTTTAATACCCTGTGCAGGGGTCCCAATAGCCAAATCAATTAAAATCGATTCCAAGTGTTGTCACCAGGCGGACCAATTCAAATCGATTTTAATACCCCGTGCAGGGGTCCCAATAGCCAAATCAATTAAAATCGATTCCAAGTGTTGTCACGAGGCGGACCAATTAAAATCGATTTTAATACCTTGTGCAGGGGTCCAAATAGCCAAACCCATTAAAATCGATTCCAAGTGTTTCCGAACCCAGAACCTCTGGACCAGGGTATTAAAATTGATTTCAAGTCATTGGCAAGAGAAAAATTGAGAAGGTATTAACATCGATTTTAATTGTTTCTCGAATCTAATCCCTAAAACCCGCAATGAGGTATTAGAATCGGTTTTAAAACATAATTGAAATTGAAATCCAGACTTATTTTTGCGGGGTTCGCATGCTGCTTTCCTTCGATTGTCCAAGAAGCCGCGCAAGAAACAAGCACTCCTCGGAGCCTCACTCGAAAGATGATGAAAGATGTCTTATATACGCTTGGCGATCTGATGGTGCAGTATGACAATGAGGACCAGGAGCAATTCTGTAAGGACCCCATCATAGCTGAATCCACCCACCGCAAGCTAAGCTCCTAAGCCAAGTTTCAGCCTGGTTTTGCCCTTAACGACGTACTGTCCTACATCGGATCTAAGTGTCAGGTTTGGGTACAACCCACGTGCACATGCGCACCAGCAGCGTATGTCATGTGCCATGTATTCGAGCACGTCTGTGGGCGTGTGTGTGTGTGTCATACACTTGTATCACATGTATACACGTACTAGACTTAGAGGTATACACATATACATCAACACATCGTCGTATCGAAAGTTAAAAAACGGCAAACCGCAGACCCCGAGCCTCCATCCAGCCCCATCGTACGAGCAGATTGTTCAAAGGGGAGCCCTGCGTGGAGCTCGCGAGCCTTAGGATGTGGCTTAGGAGCCCAGAGACTCGAATATCCCTTAATTAAGGAATATTCCTTAGTTGAGAAGTAGGGATCCTACTATAGTTTAAGGTATGTTCCTTTATTGAGGGATAGTGGAGTCTCTGGGAGTCAGGCTTGGAGGCTCTTTCGATCGAAGTTTATGGCTTCAAGCGGGGGCTTTATGGTTCTGGCTCGGAGCTGAGGATTCAGGGTTCCTTCTTCGCTGGTGCATCCGGATGGTAAGTATGTAAACCTGAGCGAAAATGCAGGACTAACTCATGGGATATGTCTGGGTGGTCTGCTATCCGCTCGCTGGGCAAGCCTTCCTCTTTGCCCCTCTTGCTCCCAGAAAAGTACAGGTTCTGCCAACACGATGAAATCGGAAAGCCCTGCTGACTCGCCCGATGTTACTGTAGACACGACATGGTCTACATGGCTGCTGTTGAAACATACTCTGCTTCGTACAAACAGCCAACTTGACTGAACCGGCCGCGTCGTCAAGGCCTCAAGGACTGCTGCAAAGCTCACAGCTTTTCACTCTGTAAGTCCCATCATGGACAGTTCTAAAGCGCCACAATGCCGATCTTCGATCCCCGAAACGTCCAGGACCATCCCCTGAACTGTGTTTCCGCACATCCAAAAAGCCACGCTCCACAACTGCCTCAAACTCATGGCTCTGCACAGGCCGTGGCACCCTGGCACCGTATCTTTCTGCCCGACGTTCGGGATGAGCTGATATACCCTGACAGAGGTTCAAAACGGGAAAGGAGGGACTCTTAATGGGGACCCCTACCCTATAATGGGCTATATAATGGGTTTATGATGGCTATATTAAGGGTATATACCTAGGGGTCCTTATTAAGAATCCCTCCTTTTACCCTTGGAGCGGTGTCGGGGTGTCGGGCTCAGGACCCATGAAACTTCGAAGCTCTCGGTGCTAAACCCTCGAACCGCGAAGCTAAAAACCTCGGCAGGAGAGTTGCAAAAGGACTTACGAGCAGGATGAATGGTAGCGACCCATGAAGTCTCCTTCAAAAAGAGTCTTTGCATAGACAATGTAGAAACTACAGCTCTCCCTTATAAGGATCCATTATGTATCCATACTCTGGCAAGCTTCCTGCTAGGATTCCTGGGCCAAGTGATCACCCTGAAAGATCCCAAGCGCGGGTTACATGATTTTGCTTGCCTGTGAATCTAGCACTTACCCAGGCCGTGGCCTGTCATGAAAACGCTTTGAAGCCGACTTACACTCAGCTCCAGAAATCCCACTACTCAGCAAGTGACATGCAGCAGGCTGCAACCTGATGCCGGTTTCAAAACCTCTACAAGCCCTGCACTACTGTGTGGGGCTTTGCTGAAAGCAGCGACGAATACTAAGTTGTATCGGTCACCTGGACAGACATTAATTACTGCAGGCTTCCGTTTCGAGTCTACGTCGATCGGAAAGGCAAAAACCAATGAGTAGAACCTCTAAAGACTACTGTACGAGGCCATAAGCCCTGCTAGAACCTTTACCAAACCAACACGCTTGCTTCATGTGGGCTTGATAAACAATCGGAGATCCCAACGAAAACCGTAGATAGTAGGATCCTTATTCTCATTCTCAGGAACCCGAAATAGCCTAAGCACTAACTGGTGCCGAGTCTTAAGGTATAGTCCTCGGAGAACCTTTGCACCATGATGCTTAGGGATGAGATTTTCCCAGTTTTGCGACACGGCCAATGTTCCAGACGAGATGCAAAGCCAAGGGAATGCAGGGGCCGACCGAAGAGACCTCTTTTCAGGCTCTTGCAGCTTCTTGTTTAGAAGGGGTCTAGAAATTTTGTGTTTATAGGAGGTCCAGATACTCCGGCAGTAGGGTGTTCAAACATCGAATACTTTACACTGAACGGTTGCGCCTCAAGACTTAATGTTCGGGCGCTTGGACCCAATGACAGAAGCCACTAAGTCACTCATGCAAGAATCACCAACCGGAAACTTGAAAAGGTATACATGTGCAAAGCATAGCAACCGAGATATCTGCACAACGGAAAAAAGCTTCGGGGCATGTTTTCTCTTGGTGTTACGTGGCTGCTGTGTCAGCATGAAAGGATTGCAGAGGAGATGAAGTCGAAGTCTGGAAATATTCGGCTTCCAAAATGCGGGCTTGTGTTTTCATTTCTCAGCAGGGTTTTGGGGCACAGCATACAGTAAGTCTTGGTGAGTAGGCCTAAGGAATAGAATTAGTAAGCATTCAGGCTTTATCTTCCCCAGCTCTTGTGCATTCTTCTGTCGAAACCGGGCTGAATAATCAGTTCATATCTTGAAAAACTGATGTGACGTCGATGTTGCCGCACCCTGTCACGAATCATATGTTACATAATATCGGGGCCTTAAAAATGTGGAATAGGGTTTTGAGGCCCATTATACTATAAGTGTAATAAGTAAGGAACCCCAAAATGGTACAGGTAATTATTGAGGCCCCTCACCGAGGGTTGCCTCAAGTCACCCCCCCCATGCCAAGCGCAAAGCTCATGGTTGGCTTACAGCAACTGCGGCTTCTGCAAAGGCTCCAGATATGAAGGTTGTAGGTTGCTCGTTGTATTTGGGGGAGTCGAGCCCAAGCGCGAGTTGTGGACCAACATGCTCTTTGCAGACATCTTGCAACTGATGCAATCCAAAGGTTGTCGAACTCGGCCGACTCGTTCGCTTCGCCCGTCGGCTGGACGCCTGGCGGCAAAAAAACTCCTGGTGCTTAGTACTTGTAACGAATGGGGGAATGGATCCCTATAGTAGTCCCTGTATAATCCCCAAGAATAGTCCCCCATAGCCCATTCCCCCATTCCCTACTAAGAACCAGACAGAAAATCAAAGCTAAAGTTCGTAGCTTTGGAGCTTTGGCCCGAGGCTGTGGAGCAGCTAGAGGGTTTGGGGGGGGGTTGGGATGCTTTTGTTCGTGGGTTTATGGGGCCCTTGGGTATCTCAAAATTAGGCCGCTAGAGTTCCGGGTAAGATGCTTTAAAAGCTGAGGCAATCGAGTACGTTATGCAAAGATGGTTGCATGTAGGCAAGAAGGTCCGACACTTTAGACAGATGTTGCCTCCAGTAGTGGTTCGCGGTTTAGTTCCAGGGCGCCAGATTCGCCGAACTCTTGAAACAAGAGGACCGGTCACTCGTCTAGCATTTGGGAACGTTTTCAATTCGCTGGATGCTGCTTGACCTCATGGCTGACACGGTCGATATGGAAGTAATTACCACATGCCGCTCCGGATCTAGATTCCATATTTGGGACGTCGAAGACCTTGAAGGGCAAACGTATGTGGCATATATATATATATATATATATACATATACATATACATATACATATACATATATAAGAAACAGGTCGAAACCTAAATCCTACAAGCCCAACTCTTTAAGCTCGTACGTCTTTAACTTCAACCCTCAGGAAATTCCTAAACCCCAAAAACAAATCTTAAAGCTTACGTACATTGCCGCTTTACACAAACCTCGTTCACTATGCTTCGGGCGTCGTCGTCGTAGTTGTTGTCGCTATCGTCGCTCTTTCTGCTGCTGCTGCTGCTCATGCTTCCACCACCCGCGCCCGCCCGCCTAGCAGCACCAAAATGTAGGCACCGAAGTATGAGCCCAGCGATGCGCCTGTGCATTTCACAGCTGGAGCTTACGACCGGCTCTGGGGCTGGCCCAGGGCTTAGCACAATGATTAGAGTTTAGAGTATGCTAGGAGGGGCTTTTAAAGTATGCAACCTATAAATAGAATATATATATATATATATACATACAGATCTTGTAGAATATGCTCAGGCCTTGCGATGGTGGGGCTAGAAGACTCGTGGCCCGGGCGATGAAATCTCAACGGTCATGCGAATCATGGTAGCTCTCTCAAGAAGTGCAATCCACCCAGTACATCTCAGCGAATAGCAACTTCCAACTCATGGGGTTTAAGGCCTCCGGGACTGGGACGGCGGGATTACTCGGCAGAGTAGTAGCGGGAATGGTTCAGGATTGCAGCCATACTCCGTCCCGAATGTCTCAGTTTCCAGCATGATGAAGCTAAAGAGGCTCAGTCCGCCCGATGCGGAGAAACATTGCAGTCGGGGCTAACCCCATGCCACTCTGTGCTCGACCTGTCTAAGCCCTCCCACCAAGCGGTTGCAAATCGTTAGATTTAGAAAGGCTACAGATACAAGAATCCAGAAGGGCAAGAGACCTTGTAGTCAATACTCTCCCAAGTACTACCTACAAAACGACTATTTCTAACTTAAACCCAAGTACCTCATTGCTGGGTCCTTTGGACCCTCAGGGAACGTGTAGATGCATAAGGAAGCAGAGATCGCCGGCGACTAGAAAAAACCTCCCAGGAAATACCTTCAAGCTGTTTTAAGAAGGCCGAGCCACCCAGGTTCGACATGCCCGCCAGCAACGCAAACATTGTGGCCTGTCGGGGCTTCGACTCAAGCCAAACAAGCCTACGTTTCGGCGCACACACACACTCTCTCTCTCTCTCTCTCCCTCTCCCTCTCTCTCTCGGACTGCTTTAGAGGTTGTGATCTCCAAACAATCATTGAACCTAACGGAAGATGCGGATCCGAGCAGCTTCACAGCCCTTGGGGCACAGCTGCGAGATGAGGAGCATGGTCGGCAGCCACGCCTGAAGTAGAGGTTCGGGTTGTTCGGGTTGACAGTTTCTGGGCTTCTAATGGCAACCGTACTATGTATCTGCGCCTGAAGCAGAGATGCATGGCCGGTCTGTGTACGTCCCCCTACGTTCAAGATTGTGTCAGTGGCAGTGAGTGATGCTTGTCGCTGACGTCTCAGGGGACGTTGTGAATCGATGGTTCAGTCTCGTCAAGGTGGGTGGCCTATGTATATGTGTATATGTATATGTATATATAGAGACATAACCCTTTTACATCTAAACTCGCCTCGGTTTCCTGGCATATGCGTAGAGACATAACCCTAAACCCGAAACCCAACGGATAGAGACTCATTTAGGGTTTAAGGCGGTGCCAGCTGCGGCACTCATCCTGTTGTCCAGGGAGCAGAAGTGAGTCTGGGGCAATCTAGGGATGAAATATCTACTGAAGGGGCCTTTAAAAAATTAGAAAAGGGTTTTGGAGCCGACTCTGCTATACTTTTCATAAGGAAGCCCCGAAATAGTAGAGGTAATTGTTTAGGCCCCTATAGTATTTATGTAAGGTATTGGGGAGACCGAGGTACCCACACATACTGAAAGCGTAAAGCGCAAGGAGCTTCCAGTAAATTCCAACAACGACGTCATTACTACGGCTTGTTCGTATGTAGGGCGCAATGAAAAGCATCGAACTTGTAGCGAACATCCGACAAGCAAGATGATGGTAAAGGCCTCATGCAGACAAGACATTTAACTGTACTGAATGCCGATCAACAAATGTCAATCTTCTCCAAAGCTTTCTGATCCTCTGCTGCTTTCTGGGAAGCAAGAGCTGGAACCCTTTTTTGAAGGAGGTCTCGCTGAAGTGCCTCCAGCAGTATGATGAAACCCCGAAACCCAAACCACAAGAAAGCACAAGCTGTATGCCTGAAAACTAAACTCTTAACCCAGCGAGCGTCGATCTCTTGCACCACATTCTGAATCGCATCCGACCCGAGGACGAAGACATGATCGTTGATACCCAACCTTTTGGGCTTGGGGGTTCAATGCTGAAGAAAAAGGGCCTTAGTTATTCGAACAAAGGGTTATTGAAAGGGTCCTTGACAGGGCCACTACCAGGTTTACGATAAAGTATAGTTTAGGCACCTTAAGAATTGTAACAGCCTTTGAGGGTACAGATATGATATAGTATAGCTGCTAGCTAATATCAGTCAGTAAGTATTACGTACTTATTCAGGCTTCTGCATTAGGTCGTTTGGCTTCTGCTTTGAGGGCCTTTGGGGTGTGAAACAGAGCGATTCTCGATGCCCCTACTTCTGGTTTCTTATGTGGTTCAGAATTCGGGTTTCGCACTCCCTTCGGCCTACCTTCGGCGATTGGGATTCCGGTTGAACTCTTACTCTGTACATGTTGGGGCGTTTGGGACTCTCAAGGTCCATCAGCGCTCAGCTTTAAAAACCTCAAGACCCATAAAAAGCCTGTAACTCTGGACACCCAAAACCGGACAGGATGAGAGGAGAAAGCCGAAATCTTGAGCAACCTTGCGCCAATACCGCTGGGTGTTTGCAAACGGCGCTCTCGAAATCAGTGAACTTACATTACCCTATGCTTCCAAGGACCTTATAGTTAGGAGCCCTTAAGGACCCAACAATAAGGTCCATGGAAGCATCGGGTGCTAGTAAACTGTCTAATGAAACCGGCTCCTCCTTTTGTAGGCAACCAAATCCTGGTGTTACCTCGTGACGGGGGTCTTTGTTTGCCTTTTGAGCATTGTCAGTTGCACCATCCCTGTGCAATGACAGTGTAGGATGGGGTCCTTGATGTCGTACAGACGCATACTACTGCAGCATGAAGGCGAAAAGAAACCTCAAACTCTTGCCTGCATCCGTTGAAGTGTCTTTTCTAACTACTGCACCAGGGAACTTCAAGTTCCAGCGTGAGAAGACCAAGCAGTTGAGCAAGTTGCAGACGGCGGTGAGGATGTTGCCAAACTTGTCAGAGAAAGGTACGGTGATGCTTACGGGCTTCTGATTCCTCCCTATAAACTCTGACCTGCCAAGCTTTCGGCTTGCTTGTCTCAAGCCTGAGTCTAAAGTCAAAGGGTTGAGGGCCTTGAGATGCCTTGAGTTATAGGGCAGATGGGGCGCTCAGGACTGTTCGGACATTGAGGGCACTGGGCTGAAGCTTGATGTTGGAAGTAAACCATGACCAGCTTCACCGCTTCAAGGCCGCCAGAGTCAGAGTGTCAGATGTCCATTGTCTGCAACTAGAGAGCGCTGGTGCTGCGAGGTTCGCTAGATTTGTGTCTGAGCCTGGCAGCCCTCTCATATCCGACCTGCTCAGGTAATACAGGGGCCTTGCTGATAAGAATGGTTTTTTCGGGTATGTGATACCAAAGTCAGCGCCCTGCGCAAAACTCGCACTCGTAAACCAGGCCTGGCACCCGCGCAAAAAACGAAGCAGCACAGTTGGGCTATGCTGCAGGCCCCTGCTATGCTGACCCTCGTTGAGGGGTTGTTTGCTTAGGGTCAGAGCTCTTGAAGCTTGTGGAGGGCGTCGCAAGTGATCAAGATAGCTTCAACGTTTCCTAAGCACGTCTGGGCAAGAACCAGCACGCCGACAGCCAACAAACACGTCAAGAGCTTCATCTGCAGAATTCTTCAAACAATCCTCCGACAACTTCAATATAGCTTCGAATGCAAGCCCTACCCCTACACCAAAGCTGTGACTTTGAACCCTTTTTGCAGCTGGGCTGTGAGTGTGTGAAAGTCCCCCAAAACCTCATCCTCTGAAGCATCCGAGATGCCATGAGGATGTGTGGGTAGCTCCAACGCTGCATCCAACGGTTGTAGATGACCATGCCCACCAGAGAGAAGACCTTTTCTTCAATGAGTCCAAAAGCTTGAGGAGGTTCAGCTCAGCTTATAATATAACAACAACTAAACCCTAAACACCCTATAGATCCCTTATAGGAGCCCTTTAAAGGTACCCCTTATAGATCCCTTACTTATATTATATAACGAGGTTCAGACCCTAACCCCTGAAGCCGCAACCCCAAAATACCAGGCCGAAGTCCGGAAGAGATTGGGTTTAGGACTTGCATCCTACAGTAGAAGCCAGAGAGTTGGAATATGATTATCCTAAACCCTTTATGGTAAATTATAGGGGATCCTACCCTGAAACCATATTCCAACTTTCTGGAGTTCCCTTTAGGAGAGGAGGAGTGGAGGCTGAAGGGGTGCGAAGGTGGGAGCTTGATTGCTGCGCTTGGTTGGGTATAGAAAGTCTGGACATGTTCTACCGTTCATGTGTGTAGGGTTTCCGGGCATCGCGGTACATGAGAGAGATGGAGGGAGGGAGGTGCGCTGCAGCGCGAAGCGACTTCAGGCGACATGAACCTACCTTCTCAAAGCCTACTGCGCTCTTTCTCTTTTGTCTATTTCATCCTCGAGGCCTACATCTTGCAACCAGCTCGTCATCGGCCCAAGGGGAGTACGGCTGGGATCTTCATCTTGTCAACTGCGCACTCGTGTTAAAGCTCCTGAGATGAACTTCGCCTCAAATTAAGCCAAAGGCCCGTGCCCGTGAGGATGGCCACAAAACACCATGTCACTGCCTCTCCTGAAGCCCCTGGCCCGTTGTAACCACACCCTTCGACTGAGGATGCTGCGGTCGACACCATGCCAATCGCGCTGGTGTAGAAGACCTGGGGGCAGGGCAGGGAAGGGTTTACCAATCCTAGCTACTTGATGGACAAAATCTTGCATCACTTGCAAAAAGCTCGAATTTCGGGGGGCATCCTCATGAAATATCGATAACGCAGGCATTTGTACATGAGAAGTATATACTGCAAGTTTACCAAGCCGTGGACGTTTCCTGCTTCAAAAACGGTTTCGGGCTTAGGTGCTTAAACCTTTGGCATTGTTCAGCTGCGGATGAGGCTGGGGCTTCAGGTCCAGGAGTTTTGCGGGAACCATGGCACCCGAATTCAATCTTGGTGTGTGCGGATTTAACAACCTTTAGAGCAATTCCGCAACAAACGCATTCTTGGTTGAATGAACATCGCCGACCCTAAGTGTCCAGGCACCTGAGAGTCGCAAAACCATCCAAGACATTGCTACAACGAGCACTATACCCTAAGCCCGTAATCAGTCATTGGATCCTTTCCATCCCACAATAGGGGTGAGACTCTGATCGCTTTGGGTATGCTGTTCAGTCTGCACAGGGTTCAGGGCTTGCAGTCTATAGTGAAACCCAGAAAGTTGGAACATGGATAAGGATGATTAGTGCTAGGATTCCCTATACTTTACTTTGAGCAGCAGCTGCAACATGAAAATCTTCAGATTCAGCTCATATATCCCCCATCCTCGATTCTAGATCCTGGCTCCAACCCCCTGAACTAAATCACAAACGCTAGCAATCTCATCCCTAAGCCTTAAATAAACCCACATCCCAAACCCTAAACCAAAAACTTCCCAAACCCTTAGCCCAAAAGACCACGCTACCTGAACACTGATCCGAAACCCTAAACCGACAAAAATCCCAAACCCTAAACCCAAACCGAAACAGCCCTATAAACCCTAAACCAACAAAAAAGACCCCAAACCCTAAACCCAACAGACAATCCCCAACCCCCACAAAGCATCATGGTAATGGTAGGACCGGCCTTCGAAAGGTGTGGTCCTTCCGGATATGACTCCGGACCTGAGTCTGCTGGATCTTGGCTTAATTAGGAGCTTACTTGGTGCACTTCTCGATTTAATTACGAGTTCAGGGTTTTAGGGGTTTGGGGGTTTGGAGATCTAGGGCATAGGGAGTAGCAGTTTAGGGTCCAGGGTTTTAAGGTTTAGGGGTTAAGGGCTTAGGGATTAAGAGTTTAGGGTTTAGGGGTTTAGAGCTTAGGGAGTAGTGCTTTGGGATTAGGGCTTTCAGAAATGGCTTCATCGCTTTTGTATGAAGCATCCTATGAGGGCCTCAAAGGATCGAGGTTCTGGGGTTTGGGGCTTTGGGTATACAAGGTTTCGGACCGTAGCTGCGAGTTGGGGACAGTGTTTGGGGCCTTTGGAACCAGGAAACACTCGACCGTGCTCGCAACTGCCAGAAACATAAACTCAAAGGGATCTGACTTCTCAAAGGTGACACTGGCTCCAAGCTAGCTTGCTTCATCAAGGGGGCCCTAAAAAACTTGAAACTCTCAAGGACACCTCTTAACCTGTTCCAACATAGGTTCTAAAATGCCGAATTCACAGCACAAGGAACAAGGAGGCATGTTTATTGGCACAGGCCCGACATCATCCAAGCGGCCATCAGTGAAGAAGTAGAACTGCGCACCTGTGTCGTTCTCGGGTTTAGGACTCGGGAAGCCTCCGACCTTCCAGTGCCAACTACGATGCCAATCTATCGCCTGACTAGCTTACCGGAAATTCGCGACGGCTGCTGTGATATGGCAGAACAGGTCTCAGGCTGCAGCAAAAATGCCAAAGTAAGCTCTGCCATCGCAAACACCAGTCTGAAGATGCATACAGTATGCATGTAGTCTTCCTTCTACGTCCCACAGCAAACAACTGTCGAAAAGGGCATGAACAAGATCCAGGGAGTTTGCGCCACAAAGGGGGCTCTTGACTTAGGCACTGGGTGGCCACTTTCCAAACGAGGAATGCAAGAAGCGCTTTAACATAGGGGCCTTGATGATTAGAATAGGGTGTTCGGGCATTTCTACAATAAGTCCTAAAGCTTTGGGGGAAATCACCGTGTCCCTTGAGGCGCTTCTACAATAAGTCGTAATAAGGAGCCAATAAGGAACCCTGTCAACAGTCTGAAGGCTCCTGTCTGAGTTTGAAGTTGATGAACGCCATGATCTCGGGTTAAACTCATGCCTTTCCGCCGGCGCAAAAGGACAGCGGTGTCAATCAGTAGCAATAGAGTTGAGTGGCAGTACAGACCTCTGAAGCCCTTCATATTACGAGGAGGGGATCGATTCATACATTATGCAAGAAAAACATGGTGTCATTAGCCAGCACCCTAACCAAAGTTCAACGCATCCCACGATGATGTGCCTCCGATGCCGAAGGAGCAGATGTTCTGGATGAAGAAGAACGCATTCCTCAGACGGTTTTTCCCACCCGTCCATGGCATGACGATACTTCTAGACGAGCTACGGCGAGAACTCGTTTTGGCCAGGCCCATAAACTGACTTGAGTCTAGGGTGATGGTTGGATTCACCGCGTGGACTGTAGCAAGCAGCAGCATGAAAATGCATCACTCAACTTCAAGCCATCTGCCGTGCAAAAGCGGATGGTAACTGCAGTTTTTTTACAAGAGATAGCACAATCCTCTAATTAAGTAATTAGAGGGGTCCTTCATACGATTTAAGGTAATTATATTCCGTGGTATCTATTGTATAAATGCATCTATTGATATATATATATATATATAGATAGACAGAATACTCCTTTACAGGCTTCACTGCATCCTGGGCTCATCTTCGCGATGATGGGGGAGAGCGCGCAGGAGACCAGGCCTCAAGCTGCCAGCTAAGGGCAAACCCCTTCAAACCCCTCAGGCTCCATGTACACATACTGCTGATGGACAAAATCCTGCATTACCCATTATAAGGAATACACCATAGTTCCCATAGTTTAGAGTCCTTAGGGTCATGCAGGATTTTGTCCATCAGCAGTATGGGAGATTCCGAAAATTAGGGTACCTTATTTTGTGGTCCTTATAGAAAGGATCTTACTCTTTCGGGTGCTATAGTAGGGTCCCCCGTTTTACACAGGCCCCGGTCAAATTCATGCGTCCCCTTTGTTATGCCTGAAGTGTTTATAAGTCGTACGGCTCATGGACAAAAGTCTGCATCTTCCATATCTCATTAGGGTGTGCTCCAACTCCCTGTAATTTAAGGTACTCAAGCTGACCTCTCTCTCTCTCTCACGGACTCAGTTGCCTGTCAGCCACGACGCGGAACATAGCGATTTCGCCATGCACGCTTATCTCAAGCTGACCTGAAACCCCAAATATGCTATCCTTTTTTAGGTTCCTTATTATGATTTCCGTATGTGAGTCCTTACAGGTAGGTGATGCTGGAGTCCCCTAAGACCCCATGTGCCCCTATAGTAGGTACTTAGGGCTGAAAGAGGTTCCTATCTAGGTACTTTAGGGCCTAAGTGCCTACTTTCTAGGAGTTTCAGAGCGTGAGAGACCCGAAAGCTAATTCCGAAGCATACTGAAGTTCAGAAGTAACCCACCCGAAACCTCAGGCAGGCATGAGGACCTAAACCCCAATTAAGCAAAATTAATAAAGCCACCTAGCTGTGAAGCCCAAACTCCTCCAAAAAACAAAACTGCGAAGTCGCGAACGTGAAACTATGCTCGGACAAGTCACCCAGGGCCAACACAGCCAAACATGCCGCAGCAAAGACCTGCAAGGGGGTGTAGGGCGCTAGTCAGTTCCTGTAAGCCGCTGCTAAGGCTTCTATTGGGTGCATGAGAAGTGTGAGGCTGTATATAAAGACGGGGTTTCTTTTAACAGCTACTCCTAGCATTTATATGGTTTGAGAAGGGGTTTTACTTTAGGGTGTGGAAACTGTTTGAAGACTCCTTGTGAAGGCTGATAGAGACTTATGGGTGCTCTGTATATGAAGAGCAGAAGGGATCCAGGATAGAGGGCCTCAAGTGCACACAGGGCCTTCATAGACTTCATAGTAATTACTAGGTTTGAGGGTATATGATACATTTAAAACCAAGAAGACTAAGAACATAATGATGATATTGGTAAATATTCCGGCTTCTGTACAGTAGAAGCCAGAAAGTTGGAACATGACTTTAGGAGGATTAGTGCTAGGATCCCTTATACTTTACTCTAAGGGCACGAGGATAATCATGTTTAGTCACCAGTATTGTGGGCCAGCGGCAGGCCCTCTTGAACCCTTCTGCGAGAATTGAAATACCTCTTCACCGACTGGCCAAGTGCAGAACTACCAAAAAGCAACTCTACTTGGGGAGTTTCCAATTAAAGCCGGGGACCCTAATGTAGCGCCCTAAATAGTAGGACCCTTATTATAAGACCACCCAAAAAACAGGTTCCCCTATTTTCGGAAACTCCCACTTGGGACCCAAGGACCATTCCGACACTGCTGGCAGTGGACAAGATCCTTCACGGATTTATGCACCCTGAACTCCGAGAGATATGGTATGATTTGACGTTTTACTATAACACGTCGGATTCAACAGACGGTCGGATTTTGTCCATCAGCGAACCTCCAATAAAGTCCTACAGTACACGCTCAACGTCCATCAGCAGATATCTCTCGCTGTGTCGCCCTATGCTTCCATGTCATTATTGCGCCCTTTGGGGGTGTAATATACGGGCCTGAATAATTAGAAGAGGGTTTGGGGGCCCACTATATCATGATTACAGTTTGGTATCTATTTAGGCCCCTATATTCGGGCCCCAACTATAACATACTATAAGCTCCGTGGAAAGCATAGGATTCGGGCCGGGCCTTTGTTTGAAGGCTCCCTCCGAAGATGGAAAGCAAAGCCAGGCCTGGGAAGAGCGGCTGAGGATTGTTGGGAAATTTCGGGATTATGTGGTTCCGTTTGGCACTATAGACTGTAGTTCTGTTTGGCACTATAGACTGTAGTTCTGTTTGGCAATATAGACTGTAGTTCTGTTTGGCACTATAGACTGTACGGTGAAGTTCTGTTTGGGGCTCGGGGATTCTGTAATTATGCTTCCGGGTTCAGGCTAGACTCAAACGACGTGATCAAAGTCTTTCTGTTGTGCGGTAATTCCTCGTCACATCCTACACACCGCACCTCAAGAACACCAGCGTACCCTGCGCGAGTCAGTTTCACCCATGCACTCCCTGATGCTGAACCTTGAAAGTAAACGTACTCCCGAAGAAATCCGAGCCCCACGGAACCCGATCATGCAACAAAAACATCATGGCCAGGCGATGAAGTGACCTATTCTAAAGAAGGGACCCAAAGTTTCTAAAGAAGGGACCCAGAGTTTGGGGCTTCAGGGATTCAGCATTAAGGCCTTGCGGCTTCGCAAGCGAAACCCTGTCCGAAGGGCATACAGGAAGATCCCCCAAGCATGAGGCGTGCAGGGCTTCGAAAGTTCTTCAGCCCGAGGCTGCATCATTGAAGCTTCGAAGATACAGGAATTTGGGGTTTGGGGCCCGAAAACCCGAACTCCACAGCACTGCCGGCTTTAGAGATCGACGGATGACGCACTATGCGGGTGTGTGGCCCAGAGTTCCGCAGCCCGTGATGAAGGCGACAATTGCCAGCCTTGGATGAGTTTGGGGGTCTGCTAAGTATGGGCTTTCGGACTTCAGGCTTGCTGGCTTTTGCTCTGGATGCCTATTCCTACTTGTCGGGTATCATGGGGAACTAAACGTTAACCTTTTTGGTTATATAGGGACTATACTACCCAAAAACGGTTAAAGGTTCCCTACTCGACTACTAGGTATTCATCCTCGAAATCAATGCTCAAGGGCTCCACATGGTCTGGATGCTGGGACATACTCGAACCACTGCGCGACACTCTCCACTAGCTGAAAGATGCTGGTACGCTGTTAATTGCACATGCCATGCACTTCTTCCACGAACAATGCGCGCAGCACTCACCTTTAACTGCGCGGCAATAATATGGAGACCGTAAACGCGGAATGCCAAAGACTGGCCAAGGGTCAGTCTGTCGCTCAACTAGCAGATCGCGCTTACCCCCTAAACCCCCACATCCCTTCGCTGTTTGAACCCTCCTCGTACGAAAGGAGGTCATCTCAAACGCAGGAAGGCTGCGGCAGCTCAGAACCACTCAGCTTGGCTCCACACTTGGCTCTCGACCGGGTTTCCTGCGATCCAGTGCGGAATACACTGCAAACAGGAGCTCTAGAACACTTTGGTTTCTGCAAGTGTATACTTGCCATGGAATGCTACCCCTGTCTCTGTATGTCCACGCGGACATACAGAGAGGTGTTTCTAACTATGTATGTATGCATGTATGTATGTATGTATGCACGTATGTATGTATGCATGTATATATGTATGCATGTACTTTATGTACATGTCTAGATAGTCTGTACATACATCAGTTACACACGCCCACTTGCCTCGTACAAATCGTTCGTGCACATCTAAGTGCCTGTGAATGCTCCCTTAACTGCACATTGCAAACTCTGGCCCGGTCGCGTATCTACATGACTTACCTTTGGTTGAGTAGGGAATGGAAGAATGGTAGTAATAGTAGTTGTAATTGTACCCCATTCCTCCATTCCCTACTAACCAAAGGTAAGATGAGACCATGCGATCGCATGAACTGAACTAACGAGTGTACGGGCGCATGTATTCGCATCATGGCTCCAACACTCACAGCTCTGGCTCCGACACCTAACAGCGAATGAACAAAAGTCGGGATGGACAAGAGTCGGGAAGTCAACCAACATTTCACTACTTGTCGAGGTGGAAGTGGCAAGCAGCCGAAGGTCTTGGACATAAGAGAAGCTGACATTTTTCTTTGGATCACCTGCAGCTGGCAGACTTAAGCAGACATCAGGAAAAAGGGAAGCTGGCAGCACCGTATGTGATCATAGAAAGGACCTACGCACCAAATCCGAGATTAGGGGGCCGTAGTAATAGCTACTACTTAAAGGGTCATGGGACTTAGTAATTAGGGTTATGATTAGGGTAACTATACTTATAATAACTTATAACCCCGATTAGGGTACTTATAACCCTACTTACTAAGTCCCATGATCCTCCAAGTATTCTGACCACTACATTAGAGCCTCAGCCGTGCAGCAGTCGGGCTCCTGGGGAAGATTCATCAGTGGGACCAGCAGAGACAAGACGGCCATGGGCGTTGCGATCTCGGAAGTTCGACTCGTAGGCCACAGGCTGGCTCTATAGAGTGTCAGGCTTCCAGGAGTTTGATGGATTTTGGGTGTAGAGCACTATTTGGGGGGTGTAGGCCTTGCGCGGTACAGAGGCGATGAAACGAACAGATGCAATCGATCATAGACCCACGGCCCGTCAGACTCTCTGCCTCAGCCCGAGATCCCTCGAACCTCAAGTGATCCTAACTGGGCTTAGTACGCCTCCGAGCAGGGTGATATTAACCTACATGGGGATTCTCGATAGCATTGGGTCCTGATGTTATGACTGTGCAACTTGGAGTTCGATATAAGGTGGATTCGAGATCTGTGTTTGGTTTGGGCTCTTCTAGATTTAAGACCCAGCCTGAGGTTGAGCTATAGGGCTTGAGTGCAATTTTTTTCTGATGTATATGATAAATAATGCCAAAAATGGCTTGCTTTAAGAAAGAATATCTTATGCCCCCAATGAGCCACAAAAATGTAATAAGGTTGAACTTTCCGATTCCTACTAAACTATAAGAACCCGAAAAGCTTAAAGGTTGGGCATTGGGCATCTAAGATATGTTGTAAGCCGTCAGGGTTACGGGCTTTCGGCTTCGCTGCCCAAGGTGCCAAGTACGAGGTGCGGTTGCCGAAATGCGTCATCACCTGCGAAGCTACGAACTCCAAGCCGGAAAATAAGGAGCTGAGTAATATTCTTTAGCGTACAATAACCCAATCAAGCCCAAAAGCGAACATGAAGTCCTCCCACTTATGACAACCAAACCCCACACTTTATAGGTGTCAAGTCATGGTGCCCCTGGCCCTGCAATCGAGCATGCTTTGGGGTTGCTTCAGGCTCAAGCTACTGCACAATGTGCCGCAGATGGTAACATCAAGACGATGCGGAACTTGGCATCTGAACATGTGCTCATCTACCAATAGTCTCCATTGTGATTCCTTTTTGGGCTTGCCTTTTAAGACCCTAAAACAAAAAAGGCTGGTTAATCCAAAAAAGGAAATACAATGGAGACTGTACAAGGAGACTGGTTAAGAACACATGCTAGGTGTCGAGGCTTCAATGGTTTAAGCTTCCTCAAATGCAGCCTGCAAACCTCGAAACCCTAGGATCAAAGTCTCAGTATGCCTTGAAACGCTGCCTTTCGGACAAATGTATAATTTAGCATACCCCGAGTACAAATAAGCACCATGCCGAACTGCCAAAAATCACTCTGACTCCCAAAGCACGCAGAATCTGGAATCGGATTGTATTGAACGGGTTGTTCTACTCATGCTCCGATAGGTTCCGAATGGCAGTAACCCATAATCGCACAAGAGCACATATCCCATCACCCTACTTTAACTCACCAAAAAGAAGGCCCTAACCCCTAAAACCCCAAGAAGGCTTTGGCCGCCTCTCCGACAGCTAAGAGTGCCAGAAGCCGGCCACAGCTAATGCCGCCCCAGACATAGGAGATCAGGCTGGGCCCATGCTCCGGCCTTGTGAGGATTTAGAACATTTCCTGTAGTTTGAAGCCAGGTTTTTGGGTGGGATGAAAGGACTCTCTGAGTGCACACCGAGTTTGGGGTTTGAGTTTCGGTGCTTTAGGGCTTTGCTTTAGATGGGCCTGGGGGCTGTAGGTTTTTAGAGTTTCGGGGCTTGAGCGTGTGTCTTTATAGTTAAGGGAGGCTTTAGCGTGGCTCTTTAGTTAGGGTCTTCGGGCAGCTAAGAGTGTCGTAAGGTTTAGTGATATACGGATTTGTACTTGGAGGGTCGGGGGACTTAGTAAGCAGAGCAATAAGTACCCTAAAAGGGATCCTGATCGGGGTTATGGTACGTATAAGTCTCCAAGATAACTAGTTACTAAGTTCCCTGACCCTCTAAGTAGGGCCTACAGGTTTCGTGAGGCTGCAACTTTGGACGAGAGGCTCCAGTCTCCCGAGATTCTGAAGCTACAGACTTCTGCCCAATAAGGGTTAGGGTTTAGGGGTCAGGATTTAGGGTTTAGAGCTTGGGGTTAAGGGCTTACGGGTTAGGGCTTAGAGGCTTAGAGCAAGCACTCTCGGGTTTGCGGCCATTGTATTCGATTCAAAGCCTCGGGTGCTCGCGCCAAAGCAGTCTGGGGGTTGGGAGTAATGGAAGCAACACGCTGCCTCTGTCCTGCGCTCTATCTCTGGCACGGGGTCGGATTTGCCAAACTGGCACCATCCTGTGTCTCAATGCTTCGCAATGGCACAGTCTTGGTGACGGGGAAGATGCCCGTCGAAGGCACTGGGCTACGTTGAACATGATAGGCACGAAGCCAGAAAAGTTTCAGGATTGTCAAGGTGGGAACCTGAACTGCCATCCAGTTGGAAGCTGGAGCTCCGCTTTTGCGTAAATTCCGAGAGTGGGGTGGTGTTTCTTTGCCTTTCTTCTGCATGACATCGCCTGGGAGCATCAAGCAGGAATCAAGAAGGCTCCACAAATCGAATCCCACCCCTGTCTGGTCAGGACTCATGATCATGCTCTTCATGAGGCAGCGATGGCCGGAGCTCGGGTTTCCGGTTTGGGGCGATTCGTGCCAGCCATGTCTGGGCTTCCTACAGACTGCCGCTTCAACCCGGCCCTCTAACACCTAGCTCCACACCCTAAAACCCTACACCCTGAACCCCAAAAGCCTAAACCCTAAACCCTCTCCCCCTAAACCCTCAACCCTAAATCCAGAACCCTACACCCTAAAACCCTACACCGGAACCTCACAAGCCCTGAAGTCCCAGATCGAGGCAGGCGGCTTCTCTCGCAGAACGACCGAGTAGACGGCTTCGGTCAGGAGGTCGCTCCACGCGACCATCAGGAAAACGAAAAACAAAAGGATGAGCCTCAATGCTTGGCTTAGGATCTTTTGTTTTTTGTTTGAACCCTCTTTTCCTCCTGCCCGGTAAGTTTTTGGCCTAGGATTTCGGGGTTCAAGGTTTCGGGTTTCAGAGTCTTCGGAGCTTAAGGCTTGTGATGATTACATGCAAGTCCAGGAGCCTCAATGCTTGGTTGGGGCCTAGGGTTTCAGGACTCGGGGGCTTACGCTCTCACAACTCGGACATACCAGGCGAGGTTCTCGGGGCTTAGGGCTTAGGGTTGTCCGGGTATCTTGCCAAGGTTTCGGGTTTCAAGGCTTAGAGTTTGTGATGGGGGTCGCTTCAGGTTGGGATCAACTGGAGCTGAAGGCTACTGCAACCGCACACTGAAGGCACGGGGACATCGGCGGGGTTCGCGAGGGTGCGAGCTCTCACTTTGGGCTCCGATATATACATGTTTTCACGGCCACTCACCATTGTAACCTCCGAGAGAGAGAGGGAGCTCAAAACCATGGGCATCACCGGCATCACTACACAAGGCATACATGCCGCGGACAAACCAGGAAGAAGCGAAGAAGCCATCAAATGTCGTAAACAAACCTCTGGTCCTGAAGCTTTCTAGGGCCCCAAAAGGAGCAGGCGCCTGGAGCTTGGATCATCTTACTATCATAGGACGCCCAAGTTGTGGCAACATTAGGACTTGTCCCGTCTGCATCCTGCTTAATGTTCAACCTCCGAAGACCGCGTTGCATTGGCTGGGAGACAGGGCTTTGTGTTCAGTCAATTTCGAAACTATCCCGCACCTTGACCTTTCTCTTGAAACAATAATCCCGGAGGCAGCATAGTCAACGTGAGATCGCTGTACAAGGCGATCCTTGGGCTTTTTGCTGGCCAGGGAGTATTGAAAGCTGCCTGACTGCACGTTTGTAATCTCGATTATCATTGCCGTTCTTCTCATCACTGAGACTGCGAAGCTCTTACTGACCACATACCGTAATCACGTTCGCTTACAGACATGACTCTGCACTTGTCTGCGGATCATGGCTATGGCAACTGCAACTGGATCGTAGGCTAGGAGTCCTGGAAGTTGCCAGGATCCAAGCCGGGTGCTTACAGTGCCGTCCGTTCCATCTCATGATGAGCAAGACCTGGCGGCAGCGAGCCATTGCTCCGCCGTTTCCTGCTGCCTCTCCTCCGACTCTCCGAGCAGCCTCCTGAAAAAGACCCTCAACAGCACAACACAGACATGACAACAATGAAGGACGACCGCACTAGCAAGTACAAAGACAAACACAACAACGTTCGGCAAGTCCACTCAATCATGGGATGTGTTAAGAAAGTGCATGATGCACGCGAAATATACGAAGCAACATACCCCAAAATACTGATCATGTACTTGACGCAACCGACATCATGAACATGCCGTGCTTTCTCGACATTTCCGGTTTCAGAGCCGCAGCAGGCACGTGATGTTATGAAACAGTGCTTGGCGGCTTAGAGAGCCCCACAAAGTGCCCCTAGACCCTAAACCGCAAGAACAAAAACCGTCGCCAAGGCTCAACAGGCAGGAAATTGTGCCTGCAGTGGTAACGAAGAAGAAGTATGGAACACCTCGATGACTCTTGGCATTTAAGGCTTTGGGTTTGGGGTCTTCTTACTTTAGTTCCAACACATCTGTCAAATTACTCATTGTATGACTTGCCGATTAATGTTGCGCTGCCCACAACGTGTATGGCTTGCTTTTGCTTGGCCTGGCCGCCGTCCGTCGGGGGCACAAAAAGGCCTACATGATAGATCATACCAGGCCTGTAACATGCGCAGCCTCCATGTTCAGTTCTCGTATATTGAAACCAGGTTGTGTACCACCCGTACCTAGGCCCTAAGCGTTAAAACTGACGGTGCATCCTCCGTTTCATTAAACCTGATCGGGACACGATGGTATCCGAAGATGGGGACGGCGTCCGATATCAGTCCCAATAGCGGCTTGATGGACCTCAGCATCAGACTTCGTGTGTAGGGCTTAATTAAGGCTTTGGGTTTCGAGAAAGAAATCAAGACAATCACAAGCCCTTACTTGCTTAAACATGCTTCACATACGTGTATACATATATATATATATATATATATATATATATATACGTGTATGTCACAGCTGCCGGCCTGGGTTCGTACCCTTGCCACGAGATGCTGAGGCTACAAAAGCTTGTTCGAGGCCGAAGCGGTCAGAGTTTCCCACAGCGATCCCCTCCTCCTAATCCCCTCTCCAACGACCCACCACCTTATCCTGGCACGCCTGTAAACCCTTGGGGCCTCCAATGCAATTTAACCAAGAAGTTGTGCTCCCTGCCCTCTCCATGCAGCAAACCCAAACACTGAGACAAGATGAAACAAGGTGAATCGCCAAGGCTGCGCCACAACACACGACGGTCAGAGTAAATGACTCGGTTTCTTGTAGCATCCCTTGCAGCACCGCCTATGCTAGCCCGCCTACCAAAGCGCATCATAATGACCCGCTTTGTCTTTAGCAAAGGTCCTGTAAAACCTTACGTAGAGTAACCTTTACTGTAAACTCTTTGGAAGTACACCTTATAGTCGAACTGCCTGCAGCCAAGCTACCATGGCACGCTCACAGCCGACCTGTAGATCTGGATGTTCCCGGCGCTAACGTGGAACTCCTGGCTGCTTGTGGCACTTTACAAGACGTTTACAAGGGTTTCTATAGCCCGGGGAAACAATGGGGCTTCGTACAAGAGCTTTGAATGATTACAAGTAGCGGAAGGTTCCTGATTTTTGGTATAGTTGCACAATAAAGGGAATAAGTCGATATTGTATGAATCATTGAGAAAAGGGTCTTGCGGGGCCCTGCTTGACGGTTCTCAGTGGGTTAGACAGGTCTGGGGCGTGGGATTCAGACTCCAGAGCAGGTTAAGCGCCAGCCATGTATCAGCTCAACCACGCACAAAAACGCCCAACCAGTCTGGGGTTGAGGGTAAGCCTACAAAAGCCCTGGCTGAAACGATGGCGGCGTTCTACACCCTTCGATGAGTCAGTGCACACGTCCAGAACGATTATCGTGGCAAGATAAGCTCTCCTAAAACCTTCCCTTTCCTACCCGGTCCTTTAGGAGATATTCGATAGGCAGGCCAATTAGGCCGCCATTGCCACCGCCCGCGGCGAAGCCCTTCAAACCCGCCTGCAAATGCGGTGAACGGCTTAGGGGTTCGAAGGGCTTAGGATTCAAGTTCAAGGGCTTCTCTCCCTCCCCGGATCCTAACTGAATGAACCCCAAAATTTTCTTTTTAGAGCTTAGGCATTCAGGGTCTACTGTCTGGTGCTTGCGGATCTTGGGTTTAGGGACTGTTGAGGGATATGGGTGGTAACAGAAAAGTAAGCAACACAGGGGTCTTGCAGGTGTTTTACAGTATATCTACATGGCTACAAAGGGACTACGTACTGTAAGGAAGTGTGTGGTACGTAGCAGAGGTGTAGGGTGTATAGAGGTTAAGGCTTGGGATGCTTGAACAGACATTCCGAACTGACATTCTGAGACTTCCCGTTTTGTGGCAAAGATGCCAACCTGTTCCAAATAAATTGTCAGATGCTCGAAAAATCCTGTTGATCAGCTGGCCTTTTCACAAACCTCCTGCCGCAGCACCTGAACCCCAACACAACAGATTCCGGTTCTGAACCCTGAACCTGGATATTCCATCTTGATTTGCACTGCAACATGCAAGACAGAGTCCTGATACTGAGGTCGCAAGAACGAGCATCCACATACTCCCACACCACAACCTAGCCCGGTGTTTCAACTCCCTCCATTCAGGAACTTGATATTCATGAAACCAGGATAGAACGCATAACAGATTCGTTACCATAGTCTCCATGCCGGTCACACGAACAGATCGGCCTCGGTCAACGTAAGCATCAGAAGTAGCCTCCATCCGAATGCGTCGCAAAGCACACCTTGGACGTTGCACGAGTAACAAGAGGCATGTTCAGCAAACCACCAACATCACCACATATACCAATACTGACGTAGTATGAAGCCACAAAACTTGCATGCACAGGCACATATGTGTACAATTGTGTGCATACATGCAAAAATCCAGCCACCCGTCCATCCATCCATCCATTCATGCACTTTACTTGTTGTGTCGGAGATAGTTAAACATTACTGTACAACAAGAAACAACATTAACACTAATTATATCTAGAACTATGACGGAAATATGAACACATCCGCAGGTGCGTCTGTTATACACGCAAACGTAGTGTTGTTTAGGCAATTTCTTTGGGCTTTGCATTGCCGCGGCTGAGGGGACGACGGACTGTGGATTTGGGGCTGCAGGCCCTAAGGTTCCATGGTTTAGGGCTTGGGGTTTAGGGTTTAGGGTTTAGGGTGGCCTTAAAGTACATGTATAGCAACCACGATTTGGACAAAAATGGGCTTTGCGGCTTGATCCTACCCTTCGGGGACTCAGTATGTAGTTATATTTTATAGACTGATAAGTATCATAGCTTCCACTTAGGATCCCTTCTGGGGTACTTATATAAGTCTACTCAAAACCTATTCTTACTAAGTCCTCCCGACCCTCCAAGCACGCCATCAGCCGAAGCACGAAAGAAGCCGCTGATCCCCCATTGTGATTCATGCTTTGCCAGCGCCCCGTCTGTGGCCGCCGTCGACAAGGATGACGTTGAGTATCCCGGCTTGAAGGCCGCGTCTCCTCCATGGCAGCTTTTACCTACGAGGTTCTACTGTTTCACTGTACGATCTTGTAGCCGAATATTGAAAATTTATCTGTAATATTACATATGTATATATATATATATACATATGTCGGTATATATTAATATATAAGCAGAACATATATATATATATATATATATACATATATATATATATACATATATATATATACACACACACATAGTGCATCAGAGATGAGTCTCCGGGGATACAATGGACAAGAGGTCATCACATACTATCTGAAACTCGCGTACCGGACACAGGACGACAGCAACCATGCCCGAGAGGAACTGGAAGCTTAGCCTTCTTTCTGTCTGGCATTGCTGAGCAAAAAGCCATAGTTCACAGTAAATCTCTGACAGAAATATAGACGGCGTCCCCAAAAAATCGAGCGTCTTGTGTACGGATCTTTAGAATAAGGATTCAGCTGTTTTGGGTCCATGTTTTCTAGAACCCATGCGAGGCGAACAGGGACAGTAGGTGCTGGTGCCGGTCCTTCTTCGTCTTCCGCGCGCATGGCTGTATAATTGGAGGTACGGGTGGGCACCTCTCAAACCTAGGAAACCTAGGGAAGAAACATGTATCCTGAGCCACCAGGAGCGCAAGCATCACCAACCCTCTTTGCTCGAAACGAAGCTCCGATACCAACAGGATCAGAACACAAAACTTGCCACGATATCAGATCATAATGCATACTACTGTTCCTGACTTTTTGAACGGTCCTTCTTCTTTCAGCTTGAAGCATGGCGAGTGGCAAAGCTTTAGCCACTTCTGGTCTTGATGCCCCGGTTTAAGAAAACCCTAGCATGAAGCCTAAAACCTGAATCCTTCACCCGAAAGTCTCTAAAACTCAAATGCCAAACCCCAACAAAACCCTAAACCCGAGAGCTGGAGACCTCAGAGTCAATCAAAACTAGAGCCCTTGTTACGCCGTAAATCACACAGCAACCTGACCCTGAACCCCTAAACAACCATGCCTTAAGAACCCCTACCTTTTCGCGAGACCAAAATTTCAATAACCTGATATCATAGAATGGATGCCTGAATTTGTCGGTATTTGGGGGCCCTCTCTTTAAAGTGAATCCGACTCCACAGACCTTAAACAGAAACCCAACCCACAGAAACCTTGAAGGCTAAACCTCACGCCCGATGACTATACATCGGTCAAACCCACAACAAGCCTGAACCGGAGAACCCACGCCGAACCTACAAATCCCAGGTTTCCGAACTCTACGAAGCCATCATCGCCCAAACTCCGAAGCCCAAAAGCCTAAGACGAAACAGCACTTCGCAAAGCCAGTGTTGTGCCAACTGTTAGTCTTTCAATCTATTGTGGCGAGTTTGAGAGTCTTCTCCAGAATTGGGGCTCTTGTGGAGCTTCTCCCGTTTATGATGCGTATGTTCCTTCCAGGGCACACACAAAGAGAGCTTTCTGTCTGCAGTCAGGGGCTGTAGTTCTCGGGGCGAGACCCGTGGACCCCTTAGACTCTCAAAACCACAGCGGCAGAAAGGAAATTGAAAACTCTCAGAGTCTGAAGTCTCGGCTCCATGACTTCATAAGCTCTTTACTGATCCGTCGCTGATGAATCAAGCGGGCTCCTTCCAACATCCCTTGGCCAACTTCGGAAACATAGTCTAACCCTCAACACGTTCAAGGCTGGGCCAGCAAGTCAGATCCCCCTCTAGTCCCTACGTGACCATAAGTATATCGCCAGAATCCTACTCGTTTGTTAAAGGCCCTATATTGACCCCTTATTTTTTTACGGATGTGGACCGCTCTCTTACTCTAACCCTGACAGACAAGGCAGTGGCCTGCATCACCCTGGCCAGGGTCGGGCGGCAGCCGTCCGTCGTCAGTCGGCTGTATCTTTCGTCGTGAAAGAGTCCTAGAATCCGAGTCCTGTAAGGGCTAAGGCTAAGGCAGGCTAAGGGTTCTGCGGGGTTGCATGGAGTCTTTGCAAGGGTGGTTGGGTTCGGGGCTTGAGCGTATACTGAGCTCAGATATCTGAGAGTCGAAAGGAAACAGTTTAGGGTAAAGGTCCCAGGGATGTCCCAAGCCTCAAGATCCGTCCATGTGATGACGATGATGAGTGCGCTTGGTTAACTTGGGTGGGTGCTCGGTTCTTCGGGGCTTCGAGCAAAGGTTTGCTTTGGGGTGTGGCTTTGGGCTTATGTGCTCTACCCTACATTGACCATGCATGTCTGCATTTGGGCCGGAAGTTACATGGTTTGACGCATGCTTTGCAACCCCAGGTCAAAGGGAAGCAGAAGCTTTTTGGACGACCGCCGGTGCTATGGAGTTGGGGTTCCTAGGGTTAGTGGTGATGGATCGATCTACAGGGCAGAAAGTTAGCACTATGGGGCTGTAACCTGAGCCTACGTCATCTTCACGGAGCTACACGTACTACGAAGAATCCAGATTCAGAACGCACCGGAGGTCCAATGTCTTATGTCTTTACTCGCTCCTTGTGCAGTTCTCTCGTGCTTTCACACCAGGGATGCTGCTGGCGACTGCTGGTAACATCTGACACGAAGTCGCTGTTCGAGACAGTACCCTCATGCACTCTCATAAACTTTTAGTACATGCTGCTGGCGGTGCTGTAGTGGTAGTGGTGGGGGCGGAGGGTGATGACGGTGGTTTCGAGGTGGTGGGGGTAGTGGGGGGGAGGGGGGCGGGGGCATGGGGGGTGGTGGTGAACAGCAAAAAATGTCTGATTGCTGCCTGTCGTCGCCGCAGTAAAGGCGATAGTGGTAGTGCAGTGGAAGTAATCGACGACGTCACTGTCGTAGTTGCAGTAATCGCTCCAGCAGCAGAAGAAGAGGCAGCGGGGAAGGCGCAGGCGCAGCGGCAGAGGCAGGCGCAGGTGCAGGGAGCAGTAGCAGTCACCAGTGCGAGTCACAGAGTTGTCGTCGTCGGAGAAGTAATGATGTCATGTCATGGTAGTGGTTGTATACTACTGAGGTAACGATGCCATAGTAACTGGTTGTCAGTCGTTATCGTTACCAGCAGCTGTGGCAGGCGCGGGTGAAACTCCGATGCATGCGAAGCGCTCTAAAACGCAGCATGGTTCCGGTACAGTACGATGAATGCTGTTTGTCATTCGTACAGAATATATAGTTCGAGCAGGCACAGGCTTATGTGGTGGGTGTGGACGGGGCAGGGTCGTCTTCAGATTCATGGAGTTTACGGCTCAGGGCAGGCACATGTGCTTCACTGAAGAACGGCCTCTGACTTGAAAGCTTGTTGGTCCAAGCCAGGGGCGTTCAGGCTGTGAGACAGTGAGAATAAGGACTTGCCGTCGATTGGAAGATTGGCTCCGAAACCTCAGACCTTGATAACCCATAATAGTAAGAGCACACTGTGTAAGCTCATTTACGTCTTTGGTAGTATGAACCAATCCCAAACTCAAGGGGAACAAGGACACTACGTGAGGACCGAATCGTGCAACCCTTAACCGTACTGTACTTACTAACTTACAAACACGATTCAGCTGTAGACTGAACCATAGACATAGCGACCGTGCTTGCAACAGGCTTACAATGCTCGTAAACACGTGGTCTAGGCCCAGTCTGCCCTGACTCTACAATCATAAATCTTAACTGGCCAGGAGAACTCCAATGACAGACACGAGCTACGGAAACCGAACCGTGGAATGACCGTGCAGATTCGACCAACAGACGCAATATCATCTTGAACGTACTGTGTTTGGGCTAAGGGTTCTGGGTATAGATTACAGTATGTGACACAATTTGAACAACGTTCCCGTTGGACGGAGCCAGCCACAATGCTACCGCCTCAGTGTGTCCTTCTTGCTGGTCAGCTCTACCTCGCACCGTTTAGCTTTCGGACTCGGGCTACTGACGTGATTGCACTGCTATGCACTACTTCTACGGCCGTAGAAAGGTTCTCAGACCGTATGTTTACGGCCACCGTATATACAATCCGGTTAAAACCTTGCTGCGAGCTCTTGTTTCAGGCTGGGGCAGCGAGAGGACTCAGCAAAGACACAGATGAGGCTAAGAGGAACACGATACCTGAAAGTCTGCAGATGCAACCTTTGCAAAAACACGAACTGACAAGGGAGTTGCAATCGTAAGCGCAAGCAATCCCAGGCATGCTGCGCGCTGAAACTCTCCGCCCTCATGCAAACTCCTCTTGGCGCCGGGCACACACATCGGCGCATTGCTGTCTAGCACGCTGGAGAGCAGTGAGATCTCCACCACCTTCTCAGGGATCCAAACCCTAGACCCCAAAACCCTAAAAGGGACGATGGTGTGGGGATCCCTCTTGGCTGTTATACATCTCAGGTCGAAGGCGCCCGAAGAATTCACAGGAATTCTTACGTGCCCTTGATCCCTGAGCAGTGGAGAATCACGTGCCAAGGTTCCCAACGAGGGTCCTTCTGAAATGTGGGATCTGTTTAACCTTGCCATTATGCAGATAGCCTGTTTAACCAGGTTATCTGTCTGACGAAGTCGAGAATGTTGAACGCCGGTGTGAGTATACATAGGTTTGACTACATGGCACCTCCAGCACCGTGCCGTGGTGAGTTCCTCGTGGAGCTCTCCTGGCGAATTCTGCGAAACCAAAAGCAGAAAGCCAGTCAATATGTTATGGGTAGCTTGATATTGAGAAACCTACCACTTATATTTGAGCAGGGCTGAGGGTGGAAGATGGCTGGTTGAAGGCTGCACACCCTAAACCCCAAAACCCGAAAAGTCCGAGATTCAACACCAACACCATGACGAGGGCCCCCAGGTCTCCTTCAGCCTACGCCCCTTGGGCATGAAATCCTATACCCTACCCTTCCATCCTACACCCCTTCGCCTGGCATCCCAAAACCCCCCAAAAGAAACGAACACCTCTAGGCCCTTTCTGTGGGCTTGGGGAGTCGGCCGGGGAAAGTCGCAGTTCTCCCCACCTACAGCCCCTAACCCTTTGAACCCCAAACCCTAAACCCTACAGACACGAAACCCCAAACCCTCTGAACCCTAAACCCTTATAAACCCTAATCCCAAAACCCTAAACCCCTTTGAACCCTAAAACCCAAATCCTACAGACCCAAAATAACCCCTAAACCCTAACCCTGAACCGCTTTGAACTCGAAACCTCTAAAGCCCTAATCTTTGAACCCTAAAGCAAAGCCGTAACGTCGACTCGCTCCGCTGAGGCTGCAGTTGTCCGGGCCGAAGAAGTTCGACCGGAAGCCGGCTGCCTCAAAACGTCCCCCAAACCCGAGCCCTTGGCCCGAACAACCTAAAGGGAACTCCAGAAAGTTGGAATATGGATTAATGGTAGGATCCCCTGTAATTTACCTTACAGGGGTTACGATAATGATATTTCAACTTTCTGGCTTCTACTGTACCGTATTCAATTCTTAATTAAGGGACTATACAGGGTTCATAAAAAGGAAGCCTCAACATACTGTTGGCAATTATGAAGGCCCCTCGAGTAAGTATTTCGGGCCCATCATACTTTAGCCAGAATAAGGAACTCCCGCCACAAAAAATAGTATAAGGCCCCCTATACTAAGTATCTCCGAAATTCATGTCGAGGTTCGACGGCTTAGGGCTAAAGCACCTTGTTCAGGGGTTCCGAGACGGTGCCATCCCCAGTCTAGACTCGACTCAGGTGATTTCTGTGTGTTTGGACCTGTGTCATATGAGTAGTGGATGCGGGCTAGCAAGAGTCACTGAAACCTGACAAAAACCCAACACCCTAAATCCTCAACCCCATAAAATGCTTAAGGGAACCCTTAAAGGCTTCCCTGGCTAAGGATGACCCTGGAGTCTCATCGCCAAGGGGCCGAAGTTTTTCTGGCCTCAGAAAATGGCATTCAGGAGCAGGCAAAACTGTTTTTTAAACCAAGCCTGTTTAAGAACTGCAGCATCAGGGACCTGTGCAGGGGGGCTCCAGCTCACAACAACAACCTCCGCAATTACGATTGCTTCGGGGACCTTTGCATTATAGTGGTTGCCTCTCACCGGGTGGTCCGATGAGCCCTCGACACCGACCCCTAAACCCCGTTTACTTGCTAATGACAACTTGCAGTGATCTCCCCTTATAGCCCTAAGCACTGGGAAGCGATACTGAGTATACTACATGTACAACGCACCAAAGCTCATGCTGCGAACGACGCAGGCCCACTGGAGAGGTTGAAGCTTCGGGTTCAAAGGGGGAACCCTATCTCTGCCCTAAGGGGAACTCCAGAAAGTTGGAATATGGTTTCAGGGTAGGATACCCTATAATTTACCATAAAGGTTTTAGGAGAATCATATTCCAACTTTCTGGCTTTTACTTTAAACCCTAAACCCAAATCTCCAACCCCTAACCCCGAAGCGACTGAGGACAAGGCTTGTAATCTGCCAGGAGCTCCTTTGCCTTCGCAATGAGCTCCTTCCAGGCCCAACATGTTTTTGGAAAGAAAAGCAGGTTTCATTTTTGCAGCAAGGACTGCAAAGCACTAAGCCCTGAAACAAAATCTGGTCTGAAGGCCTTATTATAAGCCGGTTTGATGGAACTCTGTGCAAGCAGTATCTACAAAGCTCTCAGGGGACATGAACAGATGGACTTTTCACACCACGTCTAAACGACTGACAATCTCACCGCTTCGCAGGCGGGCAAAGGAGATGAGAGGTCAGCTAGGCACGCAAATTCAACCGCCCTTAAAGCAAGTTAAATCCTAGACCCAAACGAGTGCCTTGCCTCGTTGCTGGGCATCGGCGTGGGCCCCCGCGAAGGGATTTTGGGTTCCTTGGGCTCGGGCCTCCCAGCGCGCTGTGGAGTTTCGGGTTTAGGATGTACAGAGTTTATAGGTTTAGGATAGACGGTTTTAGGGGGTTAGCCTTTACTTGTGTCTGTTGAATTTAAAGGTCCTTTTCCTGCCTTGGGTTTAGTTTTGGGGTGTAAGGTTTCGTTTAAGCACCTCTCAGTGGGCTTTCGATTGTTAAGTTGCTTGTTAAGTTGTGGGCTAAGCTGGCTCGGGGGCGTGGGTTTTGGTGCGTATTTTAAGAGGGGTCTTTCAGGTTTAGGGCTGTGGCTGCAGAAGTTAAGTTTTTGGTCTTGTTGTTGGTTTCGGTTGTGGGTTTCAGGCAAAGGGCTTAACATGTGGGATTCAGGGCTTGGGGCTTCATTTTGGTTTCAAACTTCAAAGTTTGGTGCGGTTCGGGGCTGAAGGGGGGCCTAAGCAAGCTCTTACGCCGTTCTGGGTAGGCGAGAGTCTCGAGGGGGTCGGATGACGTAAGTCTGTGAGGTCGATAGCTTCGGTAAGACTTGAACCGTAAACCACAAACCCCGCACCTCACCCCCTAAACCCTTTTTTGAGCAGGGACTGCAATGCCCTAAGCCCGGAATCACCCCCCTCTCTCTCTCTCTCTCTCTCTCTCTCTCTCTCTCTCTCTCTCTCACTCTCCCAGGCATTCGAAACGTCCGGAATCACCCCCCTAAACCCGAAAACCTACCTGATTCCTCGAACTGGAGCTATCGAAAGCCCTGTACTATGGCCAGCAAGCTAGTGTGAACTAAGCGCTGATACCTTGTTTGGGGCCCTATGGAGTCCTTATAATGGAAATCCTACTATTTCGGGTGCTATATTAGGGTCCCCTATTCTAGGAAAATCCCAGATCTAGACAACCTCGTAAGACGGGGTAGCAGAGGGCAGCCTCCGGTTGGAGGTTTAACGGTTCTGAGACGCTAAACTCTACAAACCCACACTTGAAACGCCTCCTTTGACAATATAGTCTAAGCGAAGGGGTATATAGAGTTTTTTCATGGATACTGATGGTTACTATAATCGGCTCCTTTAAGGGCCCCCCCGAACCTCCGCCCTGGTTCCTAGGTCAGGCGCCTAACGACCTGCAGCGTGGGCTTCGCTCTGAGCAGCTGGTTCTGCTCCTCGTCACATGCGTTGAGGGTTCAGCGATTTCAAGTTTAGGGCTTGTAAAAGTTTATGGATTTAGGGCTTCGGGTTCGGTGTAAAAGTACGTGTGTAGACAGAAGGATATGTCCAATACGTACTGCATCTGAGTTTGTGGCAAGGTTCAAAAACACATGGGTGGTTGTCAAAATTGGGGGGTGTCCCTTTCTGGGTACCCTAAATCTGAGGTGCCGTATTTTATTGGGGACCCAAAAGGGACCCAGAATTTTGACAACCACCCACATGAATTCCAACTCTCCAACCTTCACCGACCCTTCCGGCCGGTCCTCAAGCTGGGCGACTGCCTGGCACGAGCCAAGAATACCAAACTGAGTTGTCCCTTAAGCCCTTTGAAATTATTTTACTATTATGGTTCTCTACAAAATGGTAGGGGAAGTTAAAACAGATCCCAAAGCACAACCCAGCAAGAAGAAGATATCAGTCAGCATCTCCGGAACACTAGCATCATTCGGTACCATCGTACCTGTAGTCCGGCTCACCGGCTGGGGCTTTTCATTCAGGCCTTAATGGGGCTGTATACAGTGGCCTGAAAGCCAGACACAATCTGCAACAACAAACCGGCAAACTTTGAAGGGGCAACGTCGAACGGACATGGTTTGTACCCAATTGTATACCTCCGAACCTACAGCCTACACCGCCCACGCATGACTGCAAGCCACGAGTCTCAAAACACAAACGAGGACAGGTTACCCAGTGTGGTCAGGCGTTGTTCACGGCACGTCAACTCATTTTAGTTACATTCCAAATCTGCGCGGAACAGGTCTGTCAGCATCTCTCATCCTAACCGCCTCGTGCCGCTACATGAATCAACTTTCTTGGGGGCTCCCCGACCACAATATAAGCCCTAAAGCCTGAACTCTAAACCTCCCGAACCTCTAAAAGGCATCATAATCGGGACTATACTACTTATAACTGTTTGGGGTAACAACTCAGTAAGTCCACCGAGCACTCCAGGCTCTGTTTCATGACGCTACATGCCCTGGACAGATGCCGGCTCTCCTACACCCAAAAATCATCGAATCAGAAGCCCTACATGATACCGGAAGGACCTCAGGCCGACATAGTACTTTTTATCTTGTAGGGCCTATAGCCTTTAGCTACACGTTCGATTGACCTCTGCTCTTCACACATACAAAGTCCCCCGAAACGTCTTCCATCAATTTCTTTCCGAACTTAAAAAAACTCCCCATATTGTAGCGCCCAGACTTGTGCAATGTCTCTTGGCTACCAGTCCGTACATATTCTCTACTTCATAGAAGTCCTCCTAAGGAAAATCCCCGCCATGAAACTCCAAACCGACCGACCTGCGCAGCTCCGCTGCAAAGCGCCTTCGCCCGCCGAACGACCTCGGCGTGGAGGAAGGTTCAGGTTCTTTGGATTGGGGGCTTGATGTGTGGCAACATACGGCCACACAAGAGGACATCAAATAACCCAAGAGAACATACACTGCAGCTCAACACTTGGAGCGATAGCCTGACGTCAAGGCAGTTACTTACCCTCATGCCTGTGATGCAATGCGAGTGCAGGCGGCAAGATCTGCCCCAATGACTGGCTGAAGGCAGCGTGGCTACCGGCCGGCCAATGCAAACGATATATGCATCCACGCGAAAAATGCATACAAATCTGAACCCAAAGAACCTCGAACAGCCCAAAGTCTGACTTCAAGCGCTACCAGCTAAACATATACTATAATGAACTACTATAATGTACTATAACATACAGACTATAATATAACATAATACGATGACAAACACCATAAACACCAGAGGCCAAAGCTGGATCGTCGGCCAGCAGGCTGGGCAAGGAGGACGGGGTTGAGTCGAGCGCCTGTGGCAGCGGAAGTGGGCCCAAAAGGAGCTATACACTGAGTAGAAGTCTAAGATATGCCACGCTTCCCGGTACTAGCGCCGCACACACTTCTTCAGACATGCATGAACAGAATTGTGCATATGCAGACACGCACAGAACAGCATTGTTCAGGGCTGATTTCTACCCAACACTTCCTTCAGACTCAGCCTCGGGAGTTCAAGCAGAGCTCTCTGCCGCTTCCCTTTCAAATCCTGCTGTGCCCTGAACCTTATAGTAAAAGCCAGAAAGTTGGAATATCATTATCCTAACCCCTTTATGGTAAATGATGGGGGATCCCACCATTAATCCATATTCCAACTTTCTGGAGTTCCCTTTAAGGGTCCAAGTCCCGAATAATCGTATACTCTCCAAAATAGTAGCCTACATAACTAATATCCTGGAACCAAGTATCTAATTATTGGGTCCTTCGGACCCTTGGGGGAATAAGTCAAGAGGGTAAAGCGGATTTCTTCCAAATTTGCTGGGATTCCATCACTCTGTCTGATTCCAACAGCATTTTCAGCTGGCGTGCCATGGTACAGTATATCTGTTCTCAAGTTCTGAAAAACTCACATCATTGAAGTCTTGCCTCTTGCTCGCTACATGCCAACTTCGATCTCCTCTTGCCTGCATGGTCCTCCTTTTCCCGGTCCCGTCGAGCGGGATTAGATTATCCTCCTGCATGAACCCGCGCTCTCCGACGCTCCACCTGTCTGACGCAGGACAAGATGTATCTCGGCTTGTCTCAATCTCAACCCCGACCGCTCGACACGGAAACTTAATCAGCCATATGTGCACTATCACCTGCACTTGTTCACCATGGTTGATCAGGCTTCGGGTGACAGAGCGGCGGGAATCGGAACTCCTCTTCCGCTGTGCAGAGATGTAACTGCCATATCCTTTTCACGGACGTCAGCTGCCTTAGCTGCTGTACGGACGGCACGAAACCATGAAACATACCGCAAGAGGTTACGAAGGAAAGCAAACGGAAAACAACGGAAACCCAAAAACAGCAACTGACCAAACTGGTTTTCTGGTGGCCCCTACGCCCGCAAAGTAACGACCGAATCCTTTGGGCGGCGGCCTCCTCCGGTTGCGGCCAGCGCCGCACAAATCGTGCACGAGCCTGGCTGGATGCTTACGTTCTGGTTGGGTGAACTGAAACCCTGAACCCCAAATCCCAAATGATGCTGAGCTTTGGGCTTTGCTGCTCGGATCTGCATAGGCCCCCAGTATTACAGAGCTGCAACAAGGATCAAGCAGGCCGTCCGTTACCGTGCCAGACTGCAATGGCGGCTAGCAGGCCGCCAAGGTCCCAAGTTTGGTCGCTACCCCAAAGACGAGCTACTGCTTGACATTTCCAAATCAGCGCGCCTTTTGTAAATCCTCAAATCCCCTTAATCCGGAACACGAAGCGGGGGAGCCTCGTAAGCCTTAGAATGAATCCAAAGCTGCTCCCTCAAAGCCGAGATCGAAACGGAACATGATTAACATCTTTTTCGGGGGAGGTCCGGATGTTGTTGTGTAAGAAGGGTAGTAGCGATCATAATCATCATATTTCTGAAGCTAATCATGATAACAGTAGCAATGTCGACCCTGATTATCACTGATTAACAAGGCCATGGATTTGTCGGCATCCCAATACAAGAGCCCTTACCAAAAAGTCCGCTTCTGTTTGAAATAGATCCCGGCCCCTTCCCATAGAGGCCTCGGAGAGGCATCGCCTACTTGCAGCCGCTGTGGCTCGCTCCTAGAGCTGCAGCTTGACAAAACGCAAGAAGGCTCGGTTCCCTTTCGTCTCTCACTCTCGCACGCGGATCCGTTTAACTGTTCCTTTAATGCCGTAAGGGATCAGTGGTAGAGGATAAGTCCACGAGTGGCTACAGCAAGCAGGCTCCTCATCATCATACTGTGTGTATGCAGGGCCTCATGGAGTTGCCATGATGAATGACAAACCTGGCTCCAACTACCCGCTGCGTATTTTGAGGGTTTTGCCATGCCCATTCCAGGGGTCATAGCCTAATGTGTTGTAGGGTTTGGGGCTACAGGAATAAGCAAGCTGTTGAATAATGGGGGGAGCTGAAACAGGAACTTGATGATCGCAATGGTGAATCAGAATTCGGCACCATGTGATGCTTTTGCTTCCACCTGTCGCTCCGATTATCATCAACATGTTAATGATTTTGGCGGAGCACGAGGTGCCGGAATGGGATGATAAGGGGTGTTCGTGACAGTGGCGATGCAACAATAGAGCGCGCCACGCCACAGCGTCCACTTGTGAAACCAATGACGCCGCTAACGACAGCTTCGGCGACAGCTTCGGCTAGCAGATCCATGCCCTTGACAGAAGAAGGGTTCAGAGTTTCGGTGTGACGGTCGTTTATAAGAGGGCGTGTCTGACACCACATGTTATACGGTAGTTGAGGAGGCTATGGCGCGCTAGACATGAAGTGAGCCAGAAAGCCGTGCGAGCTGGGCGAGGCGGCTGCATCAAGTTCATCCTACGGCCTAAGCTGCCTCGTGCCAACTTTGGGGTCAACCGTCAACCCCCATGAAACAAGCTATAAAATGGACCGCCCAAACCGTCGGGCATAGGAAACCTGCACCTCGAGACATTTAAAATTAACCCTTAATGTTAACTAAACAAACAAAACATACTTCACCACTTCAATAAACCCTAGAAGCAAACCCTAGAAGACAACCCCCCCCCCCAATAACCCCTTTTTGCAACAGGCTTCGTACTTCGCACTAACACCTAAACCCTAAACCCTAAAACCGTATTTTTTTAGCAAAAACCTGAAACCCTAAACCCTAAAACCTTAATTATTCTTGATCAAAGACCTGAAACCCTAAACCCCCTAAACCCTAAACCCCTACTCCCCTAAACCCAATTCGAAGGGCTCCTCGCGCATGGCGCGGCGAGTCGCAACATCTTCGGCCAAGCGCTCGTTCCTGGAGGAATTTGGGTTTGGGGGTTTGGGGGATGAGTGTTTAGGGTTTTAGGGTTTAGGGGTTTAGGGGTTTTAGGGGATTAGGGGATTAGGGGTTTTTGCGTTATATACCATAAATAGGGATTCCTTTAAGGGCTTAGGGTTTACCATATAGGAATCTATAGCAAGTAGCACGGTTTCCTGATTATGGTAACTTAAATTCAACGAAACCGGGGCTGCATCAATTAGAGTGTAGGCTGCTGGTGTCAGTTCAGTTGCAGATATCAGACAAAGGTCTGGCAGAGTAAATGCCGACTGAGGAGGTACAGCAAGTTGATCGTGCCTCTAGATGCCAGAGCATCTTCAACTTTCGGCAGGCTGATATTTTGAAACAGGGCTTCATAGGCTCAACACCACGGCTTGCAGGGACACCATCGCTTTGTATCTCTGGGATCTTGGTCTGCAGCCTTGGGGTTTAAAGGACTTGGATCTGCGGCATTCATGATTGGATCCCGGGGTCGGGTTCTGAGTTTACAGTGTCATGGCCTCCGCCGAACGATCGGACAGGATCGTATTCTACAATAGCCACTGCAGGGCCGACATGCTTAGAACGGGATAGCTGATCGAATCTATGGCAACCTCGTAGAGGGCAAATCGCGCTGGAAAGCAAGATTTTCAACTTTAGCCCAAAGCCGGAATCTTGAAACATACCATACGGCGGAAACCCCCAAAGCCGTGTACTTTGAAACGCCGAAAGAAACTTGTTGATGAGTAGTTCAATATTATAGCCTTGTGAATGCAAATGTCCGTTAAGAGGTTCCACCCACACAGATATGTGTATATGGATATATATATATATATATGTATACATATATATATATATGTATGACATGCTTAATTAAAGGTGCTGAGAGCAGAGTGGGAGGTTTCCAGCTTGTCGGCATCCACTCAAATTTGAATTGTTAGACCTACCTACCAACAAGTGCTTGACCCTGAACCCCAAGCACACGCAGAACCCTCATTTGTTGCAGCTGGGAAGCTTCTCTGTGACGAGGCGCGATGCCTGAGCGGAAAGCGTTGGCGCCAGGCTGGCTTTCCGTTGTCGGGATGCCCGCCAGTTTAGGATGTTGATGGTTTTGCTTAAAGCGGTTTTGCAGGGTTCCAAATCCAGATCCTGGGCTGCTGCGTTGCTCCTTCGGGAGACTCTCCGCATCTTCTACACCACACAGAGCCGCTAGAAGCCCCAAAAGACACGGCACATCAGGGCAGCCCTATAAAGCTTCCCTAAAGCTGGAAGCCTTCTGCAAAGTCTTCAGACATGACGATAGGACCAAGACAAAGTTTGGATGTACAGTCATTGAAAGCTCAGCCGGTCAATTTCGGGTCTGCTACAGTGTGGAGTTCAATCAAGCACATGTGAGTTTGGTTTCAAAGCTTCACGACTACGACGGTTGCTGCTGCTGCTGCTGCTGCTGCTGCTACTGCAGGTACTTCAGCTGCTACTACCATTTACGACTACAACGACGATGACGACGACGACTTCTTCTACACCTGAGATTTCTATCCTGACTATCTTGCATGGCCTGCTTCCACCGTCTGTTGCTGGAAAGACTGAGCTAAACTTTCTTAAGACTCCTGAGACCCTCCCTATGAGGTTTGGAGATTTTCAGCTCGGCCTTCGCAACTAGGGGTTGTTCTCGATCATGCCGCTTACAGCAACGTAGCAGCTTCTGGGTCTTACTGGCAACAGTATTTCCAGCACTCCTCGCCTGGTATGCGATTTCCTTCCACTCTAACTTCGAACATTCCACCTTGCAGCCATCCACCTATCAATGTGGCCGGGCTGTCCAGCAGCATGGATGTGCTGATGAACCTTTAGTTTTCTGTTTATTCAGCGACAGGTGGGAATTATCCGCTACAGTTGGCGTCGTTCCTGCAATAATCTAAAATTCCTCGATGATACTCCTGATGAATATCGGCATTACCTAGCAATATAGCATTACATCAAGATTTATGGCATCTGTCTTTCCACTGATACTGTAGCGGAGGACGGAGGATACCCATCCTTTTACACCTGGACTTGATGAATGCCAGCACCCCACTGAGCACGGAACCGAGGACTCTGCCCAGGCGCCAGCCGGGTATCCTAAACCCTAAACCCAACTCGTAAACCCGATGACCTAATCCGTACCCCATTAGAAACCGTATAGGAGACCCTCCAAATACCCTTTATGAATCCCTTACAAGAACCTGTAACCCTAAACCCTAAACCCTCTATGGATCCCTTTTCGGAACCCTTACAGCCCTTAGGATCCTACAGGAGCTCCTATATAGATCTCCTAAAGGACCCCTTAAAGATCCCTTTTCGGAACCCTTACAGCCCAGGGACACGCTGCTGGTGCGCGAGGCGCAAAGCTTCAGATTTCGCTTGGCCCTCATAGCCGACCTAGGAGGGCAGTGATTTGGGTAGTGTGAGGGCTCTCTAAGGGGTTTAGGGTTTAGGGGTTCTGTAACGGGGGTTCTACAAAGGCTTTAGTTTAGTGTTTAAGCTAGGGTTCAGGGTTTAAGCGGGGTAGTGTAAGGGCTGAATTCTATCTATAGGGGTGCTATAATTTATAGGATCTCTATAAGGGTTCTATGCTGATGCAGGTACTACAAGAGTTCCAAAAGCAACGCTTCTACAGGTTTAAGCTTTAGGTCTGCGCCATCATGTAAAGTTACCACACCACTTGATTACATGCCACTGTCAGCAGAATTTGTTTCTGATCAGGGCGTTTGTTTAGTGGTCGTTCTCGGTGATAAGACTTGAAAGGGGCTCAGATGCAAGCACAAATAATGCGAGTTTCAGAAATACGCAACCCATCGGGACCGTAATATGGGCCCTACATAGCACGATCCTCATGGCCAGGATCCGAAACGAGGACTTCAAGGAGCACCTCGTCAACAACGTCGTTGTAGGATGCCACGGAGCACTCTAAGTCTAAGTCGCCAGATGTGTCCCCCTTTTTTTTGCAGCATGGGCTTGGACTGTGTGCCAGAAAGCCAAACGTTCTTTTGCCTAAACCGTCCAGTGAGATTCCATTTTAAAGTGGGTACAGGGCTCCTGCTCTGCATTCTGCAAGTTTCTTTTGCCTCCTGCGAGTACGTCGCAAGGACAAGCCCAGGGTTACAGTAAGGGTGCCTGCCCTTGAACAAGGGCTTTCTTACATAACCCTTGTTACACCTGGACTGCGCGTATGCCAGGAACCGCGGCGCCGACTGTGCTGTGGACTTGTGCCAACCCTAAACCCGGGGTAGCGGCAAGGAACCTAACTCGCTGAAAGACTATTCGTTCCGGTCCCTGAGCCCGACGCTGCCGCTAGCCGCGAGGCAAGCACTGCTTCGCCTGACAAGGATCGGGGTGTGCCCTGCCCAAGTACCTACGAAGTCGGGACTTAGGATTAGTCAGTGGTAGTTTCCGTGGGTTAAGCACTTGGGAGAGCATGTGTCATCGTTAGACATTTTGATCCCGGAAGAAAGCTTACGCCTTATGCTGTCGCAACTCGGTCTCAGCCAGACGAGGTCTCTCGGTATGAGGCCAAGAGATTCAGAGTTTGAGGTTGCAGGCTTGGGGTATAATAACTTGGGGTTTAACGGCTCCTTGCGCCCAAATGGGGTCGGTCATTAATGACAGCGACAGCGTGTGCACACCCGTTCCGAAACGGCTGTACCCCACAGAGAAATCTCCTTGAAACTGAGAAGGCTAGCACATCAGCGACGTTGGCTGCCCCCGAACTGCTCCCAGTCTCAGGGTTTTGTGAGAACTTCTTCATGTCTGCTCGGCATGGGGATCTACTCAGGGTTTGAGTTTCAGGTCCAAAGACAAGGAGAAGAAGGCGTCTTTTACAGTGATCCTGCAAAGAGTCATGGGACACCTGCAGGCTGCATTACCTTCAGCTATGGACCTTCCGGTACGTCTTGCTCCTACTTGTCGGGTATCATGGGGAACTAAAGGTTAAACTTTTTGGTTATATACTGCCCAACAAAGGTTAAAGGTTACCTACTCTACTATTAGGTACTAGATACGCAGGGCTCCCAAGGTTCTTTCACCTGTAAACCCTCAGGGGCCCCAAACCCTTGCGCAGCTGCCTTTTGCTTCCCTTTGCTTCCGGGTCGCAACTTTTTGCATCTGGCCGAGAGATGCGAAGGGTTTTGATCCTTAACCCTTTGCGCCGAACCAGAACCACAGGGTTTAGATCAACAAGGCTTATATGAAAGGAACCCAAAATCTCATTTTTGTATGTGGTTGGCTTTATTTGTGTTTAAAAGTGTTTTTTTGTATTTAAAAGTATTGTTTTGTATTTAAAAGTTTTTTAAATAGGTTTTTTTGTGTTTTACAGTTGTTAAAATTCTTTTATTTTATTTTTGGTGTAAAAAATACATGTTTGTGAATTTTGTTTCTGAGTGAGTCAATTGGCTTCCTGTTGTTCTACCTGGTTTCCTGCTGCTGTATGTCTACAAAATTGTTGTTTATTTGTTGTTGAAGTTAATAATTTTTAATATTTAATCTTTTTAAATAGTTTTGGGTTGTGATTGAACAAAGAAGGGAGGCCGTAGTGACATGTTGACTTGCCTTGAGATCTTGCCCTTACCCACGCGGATCGACTGCCCTTCTCGGTTCGTGGGCACCGTTGGCCGGGTGTCAGGTGTTGAGTCGATGGTACCTGGACCGCCTGGGGCCAACGTGGGGCAGTGGCATATGACACCCGGGCACATGGGCTAAAGTGCCGGGTGGGGTGGTCCAGTGGTTGTTGCTTGATCTGTTTCCCAACCAGGAAGGGGAGGCCATCCATGCTTGTCACGTTAGTGAGCCTTGCGACTTGGAGCGACAGAGGCAGAGTGCCACCTTACCCACACGGATCGACTGCCCATCTCGGTTCGTGGACACCGTTGGCCGGGTGTCAGGTGTTGTCGATGGTACCTGGACCGCCTTGGGGCCAACGTGCCAGGGCAGTGGCATATGACACCCGGGCACATGGGCTAAAGTGCTGGGTGGGGTGGTCCAGTGGTTGTGGCTTTTTTATTTTTCTCCCAACCAGGAGGGGAGGCCATCCATGCTTGTCACGTTAGTTAGGGAGCCTTGCGACTTGGATCGACAGAGGCAGAGTGCCAGTCGAGCCTCTCGAGGTTGCCTTACTTAAGTCCCTGCCCCATCGGGGTTGCTCCCCACACCGTTGGCCAGGTCTAAGTGTTCGGTTTGAATCCAAGCCTAGTGAACGCCTTCTCTTCCATTTCCTTCTCTCCCATCGGTCTTCATCGGCTTCCAGCCCATCGAGAAGTGGATGCCAACTGCTGGGATCTCAGCATCAGCTTGCTTCAGCTACTTCCATTATTATGGTACAGTCCTGGCACCGAGGCTCATGACGAGGATCCTGAGGACATGCTGCCATCGCAGAGGACAAGCTGCCTTGCATAGTCAGTGAGCGTGTCATGTATCGCAACTTGCCGCTGCAGCAGTTGTGCTCGCTGTTGCCCTGCGTAATCTACTATAGTCGTGTTACAGCTGCTCTGTCTCAAGTCTAAGTCGTAGTAGGCCCCCCTGCAAGCCGGCAGATGTCGTCGACGTCGTGGAGTGACAGTGAGTCTCTGGGCTCGGACTGGGTTCTGGTTGACGATGAGGGTGCAAGCACTGCGGGCTCGGTCGCGGACAGTTTTGACGACGATGATTCTGTGATTCCGTTCGACACGATGCTAGAGGAGTGCTTTACGACATTCTGGATGTTTCTGAATTCTCAAGAGCGTGGGCAAGTCTTGCAAGTAGCCTGGTCTGTCAATGAGCAGATCATGTTCACACTCTTTCCGAGACTTCGGCGGGATTTTCGGCAAGGCAGAGTGCCAGGAATTTTATATTACAATGTGTCAGACGAATTTCTGGCGTTACTGCTTCAATGATTTGTCGTGTTTGTACAGCCTCCGAGACCGTATTACGGATGTTGGGGAAGGCAGAGTGCCGGGTTTGCGTGTGTTTAGAGGATTTTGAATTCGACGATCTCGCCAGCAGAGCTAGACTGTCCGATTTGAGACCTCAGCGGTAGTGTGCGCAACTTGGATTCAAAACGGTTACCCAGCATGACATGCTGACTACACAGTGCCGGGTGGCAGTGATGTCCTCAGGACCCTGCTGTCTCCGAGGCTGGCTGCCTGCCTGCCTGCATAGTCTGTCAGTGAGTTGCCTTGCACCATACATGATCGACATCTGTCTGCCGGCCAGGGAATCAAGTGATTCATTCATACTGATGTAACAGTAGTAACACAATGTTACATATCATTGATTAATGTACTGTATAGTGATGCATTAGTCACTGTTAATGTTTTAATCTTTGGACAATTGAAGTGTGCTCGATGAAAGCAGTGATCCCGACGACCTGCTCTGTCTCTAGTCTAAGTCGTAGTAGGCCTCCGTGCAAGCCGGCAGATGTCGTCGACGTCGTGGAGTGACAGTGAGTCTCTGGGCTCGGTCTCGGACTTATTGGCTGTTGGCGAGTTTGCAAGCACTGCGGCGTTTGGGGGTTCGTTTGTGGGCTCGGTCGCGGACAGTTTTGACGACGATGATTATGTGATTTATTTCGACGAGCTGCTAGAGGAGTCCTTTTCGACATTGTGGATGTTTCTGAATTCTGAAGAGCGTGGGCAAGTCTTGCAAGTAGACTGGCATATCAATGACATGATCCTGTGCGTACTCGTTCCGAGATTTGTGCGGCAAGGCAGAGTGCCAGGAATTTTACATTACAATGTGTCAGACGAATTTGTGTCGTCACTGAATCAATGATTTGTCGTGTTTGTACAGCCTCCGAGACCGTATTACGGATGTTGGGGAAGGCAGAGTGCCGGGTTTGCGTGTGCTTAGAGGATTTTGAATTCGACGATCTCGCCAGCAGAGCTAGACTGTCCGATTTGAGACCTCAGCGGTAGTGTGCGCAACTTGGATTCAAAAAGGTTACCCAGCATGACATGCTGACTACACAGTGCCGGGTGGCAGTGATGTCCTCAGGACCCTGCTGTCTCCGAGGCTGGCTGCCTGCCTGCCTGCCTGCATAGTCTGTCAGTGAGTTGCCTTGCACCATACATGATCGACATCTGCCGGCCAGGGAATCAAGTGATTCATTCATACTGATGTAACAGTAGTAACACAATGTTACATATCATTGGTTAATGTACTGTATAGTGATGCATTAGTCACTGTTAATGTTTTAATCGTTGGACAATTGGGTGCTCGATGAAAGCAGTGATGCCGACGACCGTTTCAAGGTGCTCAGGGAGTTCCGAGGCAGAGTGCCAGACTTCTGCTGCTGACCATCAGAATCAGGCCAATCACATTGACCTTGGCAGTGATTACTGGAACGAAGCCGTGCAACAACTTCGGTGGAATTGTTTACACTGTGGCAGATCAGCTGCCGACTATACCACCGGGCTCCGAAAGATCCAAAGGGCTGCACAATTGGATCAACGAATCAAATTGGCAGTTGAGGCCATCTCAGATTTCGGAGATATGGATATGAAGTTGTACAAAGCATGGACCGGCCAGACAGATGTGCTGCCTGGGTCGATCCCGCCACCTCGGCCATGCCAGCATGATGTCGAGACGTGGCCCATGGATGATGTTTTGATTTACGACCATCCCCAGTGGCAACTGTTTGTTGGCAGTATTGGTTGCCCGATCCGATATGACCAGCTCCGGGTCAAGCCTGACATTGTCATCTCTATGAATGCAGATGACAGACCTCGGAATTTTGAGCCATGGGACTGGTATCAGTATTTGGCGAATTGTGGACCGTTTGGCACTGCACATCTTCGGTATGGTGGCTGGGATCAAACACATGCCAATGACTTTGATGCTGAACAAAGAAGTCATGAGTTCAAGACCATTTGGCGCCGCCTCATTTCAGATTTCAGAAAGATTATGATGTGCTGGCAGCGCTCAGCAGAGGAGTTCAGCCAGAGTCAAAGGCAGAGTGCCATCAAGGGCAAAATGATGGGCAAGGCCAATGGCGGCAGGGGCAAGGGCAAGACAATCAGCAAGGGCTACAGCGGCCCCTGTCAGGTTTCCAATCACATGCAAAGCCAGAAGGCATCGACGAAGGGCTCATTTGGCTATGGCTGCTCCTATGACAAGGGCTTCAGCAAGGGAAGTGACATGGGCAGCCTGTTCGGAAGAGCCGCTGAGGAAGGCAGAGTGCCGATGGAAGGCAGAGTGCCTTGAAGGTGGCCGATGAGACATTCCCTGGTGAGCTCGGTAATGCTCTTGCTTTGTTGGAGGCGATGAAGCTTCAGGGAGGTGGTCGGAAGCGTGGAGGCAAGAAGAGGCCAATTCGTGTGCTTGTCCATTGCTACGGTGGCATTAACAGGACCTGTGCTGCTTATTGTGTCCTAGTCATGGCCTTTGCCTCGATGACCATGGAACAAGCCATTGTCAGGTGGATCAACCACCGAGCCTACTATGCTCCATTCCGGGATCGTGAGTACATGATTGAAGCACTGCTGGAAATGCAGGATGAGCTGCACACGTACAGTTGATCATCGACACTGAACCCGAAGTCCATGGTCAAACAGTTCTGCTCCAATGAATGATTCTGAGCCGTCGAAATTTGTGTCCCGACACTGGCCCAGCCAGAGAGTCCTGGACCCGACACTGGACTGCTGGCTGGAAGTGAAACACAGTCCTTACCTTGATAAGGCTAATAGTTACATTCCCACTTTCAGCTGGCAGTCACAGCTTAATTCGTGCTTTTAAACCTGGCTGCCGGTGTTACTGACTGAGCTTAAAAAGAAAGTGAGATCATGCCCGTCTCGGTTGTGGAAACTGTCAGTTCCTTTGTCGGTTGTGCCGACATGGTGATCAGGGCCGCTGGGGCGATTGGATGAGTGAATCCAGCCGGCGACTCAGTGGGTGCAAGTGTGACTTTAACAGTCAGTCTCCGGTGATTGTAATGAGTGCTCATTTTTGCCTACTTGTGCTGTTGCAGCTGTCTGGGTTCCGGTGTAAGGCAGAGTGCCCTTGTCCCATTTGTGCAGTGGGCAAGTCATTATCCGCCATGGAAAACACGGGCGCAGTTCGCCAGCGCACTCGGCTGCAAGAGTTTTCAAGTTGGCAGATGGCCAACTTGAGCAACGCCGGTCAATCCCAAAGAA